AATAAATTAAAAAAAAAATGGTTTTATTCCGAATTTATTTTTAAGTGTATGATGTACAACAAATTAAAGTCATAACAACTGAATGTAATAATTCATCGTCGGTGAGTATAAATACAGAAGTGGTTACAGCAGTTGTAAATAATGAACAAGGATACAATACAATGCGCGTTGTGACGGTAATAAAATTATTGTTGAACTGTTTACTGATAAAACATAATAATTACGTGTTCGGGGAACTCACGTACAATAATGATCAGTTACTACACACACCTCGCACAGCAATTTTCAATGAATATAAAATATTGCCTATACTCAACCCCTTAAAAACGGTCCACTTTCAACCGCCTTAATGAAGATAATATAATTAGATGCACCCAATGTATTATCAATACACAATACGCATTACCAATACGTATAATTTATTTTTTTTGTCCAAATACGGTTTTTTCTTTGATGTTTTTGATATTTTTTAGTATAATTATTTCTTCTATTAAACAATAGCTTCACAATAGTTATTTAATTTGACATTTTTAATATATATTTCTACTGTATGAATATTTGTAAAAAATGAAAGTATATAATCAATATCTCAATTTTGTTACTTATTTACCCTACTGTCATGTTTTCAAAGGGTGGATCCAGCATATATTTATGTTCGGGGCACTTTAAAGGAGAAATAGTAAAATAAAGCTGATCAAAGGCATGTGTAGTAGTGTCTTGGGGGAGACTTAGATTCCTTCCTCCTACCAAAAATAATATGAAAATATTGTACTAAATTGTAAACATTTATTTTTATTATCTATCATTTAGTTTTTCTAAATATACTTAATTTAAATAAATATATATATCTATATATCAGTCTTGTAAAGTACTCCAGTAAAAGTATTCAAATGAATTTTAAGAACTCAAATACGTATTCTAAATATATTTGAAAAAAGTACTTGGACACAGTATTTGAATACTTTTTTCCTCTTACTTTATGTACAGAGACGCCGAATTTTAATAAAATAATACAAATTGTATAGAATTTTTATTTATAGATCATTATTATTTTCATCGCTATTGTTATAATCATTTCTCATCGTTTTATATTATCTTGATAGTAAATAACAATAGTTACTATGCCACATGTATTAAATAACTAATGACTGTATAATGTATACATTAGGAACATTGTTGTACAAATTATAATATTTGATGGTACACCAAACCAAAAAATTATGTATTCTTATCATGATTAATTTAAGTAAAGCTAACCTAAACTAGATAGTGCTAAAAAAAAAAAAATTAATTCGGTTTACTAATAATTTAATTTACCTATTTTAAATTAACTAATTTATATAGTATATAATACAATATACTAATATATATATATATAATAGTTTAATTTTAAATTAAACTAACAATAACAGTTTACATTTTTATTTTATTATAATTAAATTTAAATTTAACTTCATTTTGACCAATCTAATAGTAATAAACGTAATTACTTCTTCTTCTGTGATTTTTACGGATTCGTTTATCTTTGCCATAGCTAACCCATTAAGTTTCTCTATATTCATTGTTGATCGTAGATAATTCTTCAATAATTTAAGAGTTGAAAATGTGCGTTCCAGTATCACTGATGTAACCGGAAAAGTTGCAAATAATTGTATTAGTAATTTTACAATAGGTAATACATTTGTACAAAAACGTAATGCTTCTATAGCTGACTCTGGTTTTTCTGCTGTACTATCTTTTAACTAGTTTTGCCACATAATTAACTCTGCTTTGAGGTTTATTAAAGTATTTTCTTGAAGATAATTTTCATACAGTGAAGCAGCACTTAACATGGAGTAATTATTGTATGCACTAAAATTGGCAGGGATTAACTCTTCAAGTGCTATGACTTCTTCAATTGTTGATTAAATCTAGTTTGTAGTTGTTGTAAAATACTATCAAGGAAAGGAATAAAAATTGATATTCAGTAGTATTCTTTAAGACTTTTTTTTGTATATTTACTCTATTTATGTGTCTTTCACATACACGTGGCATTTTTATTTCAATATTTACTTTGGTAGCAATTGAAATAACTTCATTTAATATATCTTTGAAAAGCTGTCAACATCTACATGAACAGCATCCAAACCTCCATTTTTACTACAGTGACATCAGCTAAAGCTTTTGATAAATCTTGTTTTTTACTCAGCAGAATTTTACTCAAATTTATTGTGTAAGAAAAATAATAACCGCCACTTTTAACGCAATTAAAAATTCACTTCTTGTTATAGCACACTCTAACATTGATGTTTCATTGCTTGAATCTCCACATTTTATTTCTTCTAATGCAGTAACAATATACACATACAATACTTGTTCTTTAATTATTCTTTAAAAGTCATTAAAGCTGTGTGCCTTTCAACCCATCGGGTTTTACAGATAGCTTTAAGTTTTCTTTTTTTAACCACAATAATAATATTAATGACCGATTTGATAAAAACTGATAAGAAAAAAGAATTACTATCAAAAAATTGAGCAAAAGCGAATTCAACGAATTTTACATAGGTATGAAATAAACAATATAATAAATTATGCAAAAACGTTGATACAGCCGAGGGGGAGAGCATGACCCACTGACCCCTCCCACATGGCTACGTCACTAGGTATATTACATTTACATATAATCAATTCATTATTCTTAAATTAGAAATAGAAAATGCAGAAAGATTTTTTTTAAAATACAATAACTTTCAAATCATTTTTACATATCAATTATGTCATACATATCAAATATGTTATTAGAATGAACTGCATACTTATATTTAATTGATATAATAAAAATTGTATTAAAATCAAATTAATTGAATGAGTAAATTATTTAAAAAAAATTCTAATTAAACACAGTACAAGGTAAAGGTTAGTAGAGTTCACTATAAAGCTGCCAATAATCTTCAACTAGGGGGATATTTCTCACTTATGACTTATTTTATAATATTTATATTTATATATATTCAATGTTTATATAAGAATTTATATAAAAATTATATTTTTTTCTTATCTGATATTATTTGTAGTATTTTTTTATTTATACATAAATATTGTTTCACAATTTATTCTTTACAAAATTATTTTTATTTTATAAGATAACAAACTTTTAAAATACTGTAAGAAAAAGTCTTACTTATATTGACCTAATTTATTTATTTTTGCTTCTATATAAATCAGTTGGAAAAAATGTTTGGCTCATAAGAGTATATTTAAAGATTTATTTCAATAAATCAAATAATAAGTACTTAAAACTTCAAAAACAGGTATTAAACAGTACATGATTAATTTTTATAAAACATTTATAATATTTAAGTAGTACATTTTTTAAAACAACTTTTCAAGGTTTTTGTTGTTTTGTTTAGCGATTATGAACCTGAGACATTTAATGAATTAGTTAACTTTTATATAATATACCACTGAAGCTTAAAATATTAAAGTAAAACTACACATATTGATAACTAAACTTTTATGTCTTGGAAAATCTACCGAAACACGACTTGATTCAATTAAATTACATAATAAAAAAATATTTCTTAATTTATATATATAATTATAAATATTATAAGATATTCAAATATTTTGTGTTTATTTTCTTTAAATTGTATTTTAATAAAATTCAATGTAGATGAACTTGAAACAGAAAAGAAATTTAACAATATAACACCTAATATTATTAATATAAAATGTAGCCAATGAATTAGATATTGAAAATAGTTTTGTTCAATACAAGTATACAAAATCTCAACTTGTACCATGCAATAAAATCTTACTCAATCTCAAAACTCTTCTTAAATTTCTTGGTTAGAAATAAATTTTTAAGATAAATAACATTTTAAGAAACAGTTGGCTGTAATGGGTACACAAGATTATAAATGATTTTGATTTAAGATGAAGTGTAAGACAAATAAATATAATTGTCGAGTAATTGGGAAATTATGCAATTTAAAATGCCAAAGTTGTTTGTCCGGGGAAAATAAATAATATAATATAAACACAAAAAAAATTAAAATCGTTAACATAAATCCTCAGTAAATAAAAAGAATAAAAAAAGGAGACTAATTTGGGCAGGACATGCCTGGAAGAAACATGAGTCACTGATGATAAAAGTATAAGAGGAAAATTCAGTAGGGAGACGACCTCATGGAAGACCAAGTTTAAGACGGAAAGATTATGTAAAAAAAAATATACTGGAACAGTGGAACTGAATAGTCTTTGGCAGAATCTAACAGGAGATAGCAGTATGTTTATTTAGGGGTATGGTTTTGATTAGCCAAAATTAAAGAAAAATAATAGTAGAAAGCTATACTATAATAAAGTAAAATAATATTAACTAAAGTATTATACTTTGTAATTTATAAAACGGTTCCACATTGTCAAAATTAAATTTTTATAATTTAGCATTCTAAACTAAGTACACTATTTTTAGGTTGATATTAATAGAGGATTATTATCAGTTAGGTTAGCAGAGAAGCATACAAGCATATGAAGTAGCGTAGAATGATTTTTAATATATTTAAATATTGCAAATAGTGCATTTATTACTTAAAAGCATAAGATTAATGATAACTGATAAGTAATGAAAATTAAGTATTTTTCTTAATAGATTAAGTAATAGTAATTAAGTAATATCAAAATTGTTATATATTATTTGAGTTTAGCTTATTTTTGTTTTGTAAGAACATAAAATTTACTTTTTTTATTGTTATAATATAATACAAGTGCAGACCCATTTTAACATTTATTACCAACATGTAATATCATAAACACTTGAACCAATTACCTAAATGATTATCATGATTAATATAAGTTTGAAATCAAAGAGTTTTTTAAATATTAATACTTTTAAAGGTAATAGGTATGATCTAAAGAAACCCAACAGCAGAAGCAAATAATGCAAAAATATCAGTGTATTCATTATACATTGTTAAGCATTTTATAATCAATATATTAGAATTTAGAATTCTTTGACTTACATAAGTAAACTGAAAGTTCAAAAATGTTTGAAGATCATTAATATTAACAGGGTACCTTTCAAACATAATTATAAACTTTTCAATAATTTCATTCGACAAGGATTCCAAGTTTTTACGGAATACTAACATCTTAGCCCTAGCATTGGTTCGAACAAATTCCTAAAAAAAAAAAAAAAGTGATGAGACATGCTAAGATTATTGATACATAATAGTGATACACAAAGTGATGATCTTACTTTGTATATTAATTTAACGACTTTCGCATATTCAATTAACCCATTGATTTCGTTTATCATATCTTCCGCCGAAAGGTTAGTATCGGTCCAATCTTTGGTGTCAGGTTTCCTATAAAGGTATGCAAAAACGAAATATTAACCTCAATGTTGACGATTTTTTTAAAAACATGTACACGAGGGAGAAGAAAAAAATATAGGGAAAACGTATTAAAACAGTTACGACATTTACCTGACAACTTCTGAGGAGTCTCCATTTCTCAATACATAGATAGAATACGTGTCGTCGTTACTAGGACCGGCTACTTGTTGATCCTCCATGGACATGGTTAGACCGGGCACACTTCTACGGTATCACCGGCCGGTAACGTACAACAATGAGCTCGTTCGGACGATCTGCGGCCGCACGCGAACGTTGACGGGAATTGGTTTGACGCGATAGTAACAATACTAATAATGATCGACGTCGCGCGCGATGAACGGTATGTTATAGTCAGTGATGACGTGCGACCACGCGGTTAGTGTGCGGCGGTAATGGCGGTGGAGACGAGTGTACTGCAACGGCACGTACTACGACCACCGTTCGAAACGCCACTACGAGCGAACTTTCAACGGGCAACGAGAAGGATACGATGCACGTGGGACGAGGTATATATCGTGATAATAAACGTGGTAAGCGGTAACGCGAAAAATGAACGGATGACCGACGATGTAGCGTACCGACGCGATGTTGCCGCCCGAAATGCTGGTCGCGGGGAAATGAAAATCAGACCAACCCGCATCGAACCGTCACCCCTAAACAGACCGTTACGGCGGGACGAACAGTGCTGCCACTGTTTACGGTCGACGGCTGACCGTTCCGGTGTTGGGTTTGGCAACGGTCGGCCGTTCAAGCGTTCGTGCACGCCCACCGACGCATCTTTGTCGTCCGCGTTCGCGCCGCCGAGTTATCCGGATCGACGTTTGCCGACCTTTACGCCATGGCGGCCATGTCCTCCGCGCGTTGGGACGTCCAATCGAGGAAAAAGTCTATCGTTAATCGTTTTATCATTAAGAATCTTATCGTACACTCGAACACTGCGAACAGTGAATGTCGACACTTGTAATTGTGTTTCGACAAACGAGATATTTTTCTCGTCGTTGATTTACGATCAACGGCCCATCGAAAATATTTTGCGACCCAATGTTGAGACCATGCATTTTCTGTACAAAAATGATTTCGATAAGGATATATCATAGCTTGACATCGATGTTTAATATATTATTGTTTTTTTCGTCGAGTCGACATTTCTTTCAGTCGCGAAATTTAAAAAGTCAATATTTGATAACAACAATTGTAGAAAACATTTTTTAACCCGCTTTTATTTATCTTAACTTCATGTATTTTAGTATTTCATCGCATCACCATTATTTTTAATTTTAAATTCCAATATTTCTTATCGAGTAATATGTTAAGGTTTTTTTTTTTCAGTTCTATGTTCTGGCGACTGACTTATGTTATAATCTACGTTTATAACCTAGCACGGAAACTAAGAAAGAAATGGTCATTAGGTCCCGATAAGACATTGATTTTCCCGCAATTTAAATATAATTTTGTGTTTTAGGGCTCCTTCAAACGTAGCCACTCGGTAGCGCTTCTTATCAGCACGTCAGTGACACTCTTCATGTTTTTAGAAGGCTTTTTAGTGGCGCTACGAATTACTGATTAATAAAGACTGTAATTAAAATGATAATGATCGAAAACTCGTTACACGGATTAATCGCGGTTCCTAGGTAAACGCGATTTTGCTAACGGGCGGACAGGCGGGCAGTTTAGGCGATTGTCCTAAAAGCAGGCGAGCAATACATATTAGTGCATATTGGTGAATAATAGTGCTAGTCGCCCGCGTCAGAAACAAAAATATTTGTTTCGGCGCGAGCGATAATATTGTTATCGATGTTATCGGCCGCCTGTCCATCCAAATAGGACATTCCACATACAAAATCTGTTTTGGATTTTATCGCTTTTCTAGTTGTTTTGCATAGTTAAATTGTATTGTTTATCGCTGAGGTAAATATTTTTATGCGTCTCTTAAATTAAAAAAAAAATGTATGGCGTCGCCCGCCCGTTCGCAAAATCGCATTCGCCTAGGATAACACACCCCCTATTGGCCCTTATCACACACGACGGTTTCGTTCGCACGATTTTTATTTGACACATAAAGCTAATAGCGGTAACAGGACAGTATACGGAATTTTTTCCGTACGGCCGCCATGATACAAGCCGTGACGACGACTGAAAAGTACATCTTATCAGTTACCTACGTGACTATAGACGCGCGTATTCACGCTACACGGTTTTTAATCGTCCGCGGCCCGTTGTCAGAACTACCAGAACCTGAATCGATTTCGCTTTATAATAGAAATAAAACAATGGATATCGGGCACAAAAATTGAAATCGTAATCAGACGGACGAAACGGTCGTGTGGGAAAGGGGCCTACAAAAATTGCAGTCGCGTATGAAACTCCCACACTTAAAAACAGTTCACGAAAAGCGCGACTTTTGGACGCGGCGAAACCGACCACTGAGAGCGTCTGTGGCGTTTTGGATCGGGGGGTGTGGTCGTGTGCGTGAAAACATCCGTACGCGTTCGTATTTTTGCCGGGTGGCTACGTGTGAAGGGGCCCTTAATGTTCGCAGTCTTGTTGAAACAGTCTGATCGGAAGAAATATGAGTGACACACGGAAATTGTCGTACGTTCTATACATCAAATTAAATCGATATGTTAAAGCAAAATATTGTTATCTGATAATAACGATATAAACAAGCCCACGCCTACGGTTTCGTTTTCGATTTTGTGACATGAATTCCGTGTCCGTTCTCGTCGTACCCGTATTTTGACTGCGTTTGCACCGTTACAAACATAACTACATTATGGCGCTAAAATACAATATTCCGTTTTGCGCCGTTCCGACGTGTGATCATTGTTCCCAGGCGAATTACACCGGAAGGGACGGTGTATCGTTTCACAGGTACCTCTATTCATTATTCTTCGATTGCTCGTCCACAACGCCAACTCGTAGAAATGCAAATTAATATTTTATTTTTTAATTATGATTTGAAGGTTTCCTACGGATCATATTAATCAAAATTATTCGGCCGAAAAAGGCAAACAAATAGACATTTGGAATCCCAATTCGTCCTATGTATGTTCAGAACATTTTGAATCGGAGGACTTTGTGATTTGAACGTTGAACTCATAGGTAAGAAAGCTGTCAGAATATTGAAACCAGAAGCTGTACTATCAATAAATTTACTGAAAAATTTGTCTACTGAAACTTTAAAAGCTAAAGATATAAGAAAATTCAATAAGATATGAAAAACTTAATAATGGAAGTTATTTAATTTTAAACTTTGATTACTTGCAACTACATTAGTACAATAAATTGTTTATTTAATTTGTTGCAGACTTTTAATGAATCAATGACCCTCAATGAAGATGAATCTCAGGAGATCTCTGAATTATTGGCTGATATTGTTGAACATTTATTAGATTAAGTATAACATTTAAGAAATATTTATGATATAATGTATTTAATATACAATGCATTGTGTTAAAAAAATACTAAACCAATTTAAAAAGCTTTTTATGAACAAAAATGGAATACTATTGATTTTATATATATAAGAAAGCATAATATTTATTGTTATTTTAAAGATAAATTAAAACGTACCAGAATATTTTAGTTAATATCGATTAACAAGAGGTGCTGTATATGATATCCACGGTTAGGCCATCATCTTTAAATGCATTGTACAAATTAAAATTGATTTATTTTGGTATAAATCTTGGTTTATTTTCAACTTCAAATACACTTGATAAGGATGTAAAATAATTTATGGTAGACAAAACAATTAACATTAAACTACTCTAAGTGTGCAAGTTAATGAAAATACTGATGACTAAAATACTGGTATATGCATTGATTACAATGAAAAATCAAACTTGTTTTATGACACGACATAATTTGCTAATCAATATTTAACTGGATGGGAAACTAACAAATGTAGGCAAACATTTTCGAAACTATGTTCTACAAATTTAATACCATACATTTAGTACTAATAAACACAGTTATTTACTTCCTTTGTGGATCAATCATTCATTATCTATCTTCTTTCTTTCTTGGGTTAATCGGCCGCTAGGACCATCCCGTCTCCCAATCAATTTTTCAGCTATAATTTCTCAAATCATTTCATTAATTTTTCATCGATCATCCATTATACGATTGAATAATAATCCTTAATAATAATTAAAAAATAAAAGAAATGCTGAAAGCTGAATGAATTTTTAAAAACTTACAGGAAATAATATCTCTAGAGAAATAGTGTTATAAAGCACATTGTACTTAGAATTATTAATAAAATGGATATCTAAAAATAATCTAAAAAACTAGTACATACATATATAAAGCAAAGTATATTTTTATTCGTAAAAGCATTTGAATATACACTAACAAACTTCATATTTTTTAAAAATGTATGTTATTTATAACTAATAATAATCAAAAAATAATTGTGAATAAAAATAGATAAATAGTTTTATACAATATTAAATATTAATATATTGTATGGTTGAAAAAAAAATGATTTATTTATAGCTTATTTTATTTTAATTATTTTTATAATAAAATCAATTAATAAAGTGAAGCAACTATTTCATAAGTATATATTATAAATGACTCACATAGTTATTATTATAAGTACAGACAACAGTCTAAACAATTATGAATATAGTTGTAATAATCTAATTTAATAGATTTAAAAAATTCTAAAACATTAAAAATGAATGAATGTATAAGAATAATTGGAAATATAATTGATTAATCAAATTTAATGCTTTTTTTCAAGACAAAATGTCATAAATAATGTTTGGTTTATATTCTATAATTATGTATATTTAAAAAATTTTCCAAAAAATTTATAGTTGTACCTCAGCTGTACTATAGTGATCTAAGAAGCATATGCTGAAAATTTACTACTTGAAAAATTTTAAAAAAAAATATTTTTCTACAACTGGTATATTTACTTTTTAATTTTTAAATGTTTTAAAAATAATCTTAGAAATAAATAATAAAATGTCGGTAGCGTTGTGCATTTTAAATAATATGATCGTTATCTAATCAATTTACAATTAATACAATTAATCTTACAATCAAAAATTGTACATTTTTATTACAAACTAATTTGTTATTGATTAAATTTAGTTATATTTGATGGTCATGAGTTCATGAAAGTATCTATAACTATTTAAAGTTAATAATATATTTCTTGTAGATTTAAAATTTAGCAAATTTTGATTTGACTATTTCGCTTAAAAAAATTACTATAAATTCAAAAAATGTATTCATTTGTTGAATTTAAATATAATAAAATTTAAATAGAATAGAAACTTATGTAGAAACTTCTTACAATATTTTGCTGAGAAAATACCATAAAATATGTAGTGAAATTAAAGATTAAAATAACACCTCTAAAAAGTAGATAATTTTGATATACCAAGCAGGTGATGTATACACATTGGAATGCTGTTATCACCTCTTAATGTTTTACTACATAAGTACAAGATCTGTTCATATGGGATTAAACATATATTTATAAATAATGTGTTGAATCAGTTTAATTAATGATAACCATTCTTTTATAAGTTAGTTACATATTATCAAACTAGTCGTCTTTAGGTCCAAAATAGTGAACGGTTCCATCTGGATATGTTACTTTTACCCTAAAATAAAAATAGAATATGAATTTTAAAATTAACACAATGTTGGAGTTATTGCTATTAAAATAAATATAATAATATATAATATAAAAATATAAATAATTAAAATATAAAATAAAATACTTTGTTCCTAGCTTAAGTCTTTCAAATTTCATTTTCAAGTCACTTATCAAAACTTGGTCCAATACTGAAGAAGCAGATTGGAAAACTTCTACTGCCTCTTTGTAATGACCCTCAGAATAATTAAATGCAATAGCATCCATCCATAGTCCTATAATTACATATAATTTTTTTAATGTCCTTATATATATATAAGTAGGTTACAAAAGTTAAATAATACTGACCAATATCATATCGAGAGTATTTAAAACACATTTCCACATACAAATTATTGATAAATGAGTTATTCTTAGGACTTTGATGCTTTTCAAAAGAAATCATAGATTTGTATAACTCGGGATTATCTTCTATAGTATCCTTCAATGCTTTAAACAGTTTACGAGTAGCAATTCTACCCTGGGTATTTTCATACCATTTCAAATATTGAACTTTATATTCAGTGCGAATTTGTTCATACTGACAAACTATGGCTTTATTGTAAAATTCGTCAATCTACGAAAAAAAAAAAAAAATACAAATAACAAATTTTAAATCATACCACATACTTCCAACAAATATTCCATATGTTTATTTCAAATTAATAATATTATAATACACGGAAAAAAAATTTAATGGTTGAAACAACACACATGATGGTATCGATTGTATTACCAATTTTTTATCTTTTGTTCTTTTTATAATAAAGCTCATCAAATTCCATAAGCACAAAGAGTTAACTTCCAATGCTTGAACACCATCATTTAAAACTCTGTACGCCATATCAAATGAATTAAGATTCAAATAAAATCCCAATATTTGAAACCAAATTTTTATACAACTTTTGTTCATTTCAATTGCTCTCTTGACTACCACTGGGTCATGTTCCTTGATTGAAAATTCCGCCTTGGTAAAATAATAATTTGGTTTTATCAAATGTTTAAAAATCTAATAATACGATATACATACCCAATGAACATAAAATTCTTTGGGCAGCGCATGAATATCATGTGCATGTTGAAACACTCGTTTCATATTTTCAATCAAAAAAGCTTCAATTGTTTCATTTGCAATACCTATACGATTCCTAATTCCTATGATATGCTGAGCGTATAATTTCCATAAAACTTTTTGTTTTTCGGGGCTTTCATTTGCTTGTATTCCGTTTTCGAATGCATCAAAACTGTTCCTATAAATTCAAATTAATGACAATACCTGTCAAATTATATTTTTAAACAAATTCATGAATACTTACTGCATTCTACGTCTACAATGTGCATCATACTCAAGTTTTCCCGTATCATATCCATAGATAAATCCGCTATAGTTGATTTTTGATAATTGTTTCCACATTAATACATTTTCTGAGTATTTCTCTATCATATCCCTAGATTATATACAAGGTATTTAAAAATATTAATTATTATTAAATTAATTTATTATTTACTTGATCATTATAGTTTGCAATTCATAAACTTTACTATCATGAAACGCTTTATCAAATAATTTTAAGAGAAATTTCAAATCGTTCTTGAAAAGTTCGAAATATTCTTTGTATTTTTTTAATACGATTGAAAGTGAATCGCCATTAGTTTTTTTCATCATCAGAACTTCAAACGTGAAATGTGATATGTACAGCGGCTTATAACTCGCATGATGAGAAATGCCATACATGAGGTAACGTCTAGCAGCCGAAATGTCCGATTTTGAATGGTATATATATCTAGCTGCCATTACGTACACCCTTGGATCAATATGCTTTTTGGATATTAGTGCAGAAAACGAGTCATTATCCTCAGATATAAATTCTTTCTGAAATCAAGATACCCAATCGTATAAATCGATAACGTTGAGTGGTTGAATTTATGTTAGGATTGATTTCATGTGCTGCACCTAGTAGTTGACTTTGAGCCAACTAGCAGTAAATATATTAAACTTAATAATTTAGTTTACTTATTATAAAAGTGAGTTTGTTACTCATAACGCGATTATTTACATCTGAACGATAAATTATTTTTAAATTAAAAAAGAAAATGCAAAATGATTCTTTTAATTTATTTTTCGTACAATAATTAATTTTTGAAATACATTTATGAATTTTATGAGTAAATCGCAAACCTATGTTATTGATTAAATAATAACATTTTTATTGAAGTCTAATTAATTGAACAAATTGATTATTGCCAAGCGATTCTGTTTTAGTATTAGGTAAAAAGTTACAACAGTTACGGCAACTTGAAATATTACCTCACGGTATTTCCAAATGGTGGGTTTATAGCTGGTATTTTTTTTAAAAAAAAAAAAATAAAAAAAGTTAGATGTTGATAAAACTAGATGTTGATAAAATCATTAATGAATCAACCTTAAATTTTATAAAATTTTATTATATTTTATAAATGTGGTTTTATATGTTGAAAAATAAATAAGTATAAATATCAAAATGGTTTTATGTTAATGTATTATAATAAATTAAATTTATTTTTAAGCATTATGCCGGGGGAGAAAAGAGATGGAGTCTCCCACTTAAATGTGTTTGGAAAATTACCTGGACTTCCACCCCATGAAAAATTCCTAAATACGTCACTGTATGGAAGAGGACGCGTCTGGATAAAACTGTGCCCATGTGGCTGACGCTCACATTTAAAACAATACAAATTTATATTAAGGTGTTGATATTTTTAACGTCCATTGCGCGTTGAAGAAAAATACGTAAATTTGAAATTTACGTTCGTACGAACGCGCGTAATTTTTAACGTACTCTACTCGTGTGACCGCTCCCATGACTGTTATTATATTTCTATGATGCACGTCAAAGAGTACGCGTGTATCGACGCACTTTGGGCCCCAGTCTAATGCCTCGTCCCATTCGTTGTCGGGTTTTATTTTTGCCCGCACAGATGATGACACGAGTCGATGTTACCCGACAACTGAGACAAGTAATGGTGGAATGCAGCGTATTTGGGACGACCATTAAAATATCAAAAATTGAAGAATGGTCGCAACGTCGTCACGTAATACATGATACGCATGAATGTTGCAAATGTGTACCCGCCTTGTTTAGGGGCTACTGTAGGTAGGGATGGTCATAAAACCCGAATATCCGGATATCCAAATCCGGGTTTGAATCAAATTCTTATCCGGATTTATAGATTTGCTTTTTATGTGACTTCAGACTTACAAATATTTTTAATGTATGGTAAAATAAATTATTTTATTATAATGAAAATTTAACAAAATTATATAAAATTAAAATATTATTAGTATATAAAAATGAGTCATTGAACAGCAAAATCGAATTGAATAATCCGGATAATCCTTGAAATCCGGATATGCCCACCACTAACTGTAGGTAATTTTAATTTTATAATAAATTTAATTGTGTAGGTATTAAATACTAACATTAAATTTGGTTTATACAGGCTCGTATTTGAAAATTTGGCGTCCATGGGCAAATAATTTATGCCCCCCCCCCCAAATAAATAATAATAATATAACACTTATTATTTCGTCTATAATCGAGATTCTTGAATACTAAAATATAATTTATAAATGAAAATCGTTTAATACTTTTTTTAATTAACAAATTATAACATAATAAAACATACTATTTCCTTTTTTTTTTAATTAAGAAACTATAATATAATAAAAATACAATTTTTTTTTATTTACAAATTATAACATAATAAAACATATTTTTTTCTTTTTTTATTGTTTTATTTTTTTTTTTATTAGGTACATAATTTTCAATATTTATTTTTCTAAAATATTTTGCCGCTTATGAGACTTGACGTCCCCGGTCATATGCCTACCCGTGACCCCCCCCCCCCTAAATACGGGTCTGGGTTTATAGTACATTTGTGTAAAGGTGCGTTTACATTAGAGCCCGAACACGAATGAACGCAAGCGAATGCTACCGAACGAACTAATGTAAACGGTGAGGCCGAACGCGAACGAACGCATTCGTTCGCGTTCGCCCCAAGAGCGGTACGATCAAAGAAATTCTCCGTTCAGTTTAAACGGCATTCGGCCCGTATCGCTTTGTCGATACTAAATGTGTATTTAGTAGGTACTTAGGAGTGAAGATTTTTGTAGAAGCGAAGATAGTCGAACACGAACGAGTGAACAATGTAAACGGTCGCGGCCAAATTTCTAGCAAATATGCGTTCGTATTCGTTCGGTAGTATTCGCTTGCGTTTGTTCGTGTTCGGACTCTAATGTAAACACACCTTAAGAGGTATTTCACAGAATAAAATCGTCGTTGCGTGTAATTTAATACTAACTACTACGTATGTATACTGCCGCCGTCTCAACCCGCACACCATATCGTGTTGCGATAAGCGTCGCGCCGATAGCTGTTCCAGTGGTGTGCATACAAAAAATATACTATTACATAATTTTAAATATTTAATAAAAAACTAAATGCTATATTCAAATTTTCGTCACACAATCGTCTTCTGTGCAAAAAAAAAATACATAAGAAACGTTTAACAAAAATACGAAAATATAGTTTAAAGCCAAGTAATTTATCGTGTGAGGTAAGTAAACTGGGACAAGTGCTACCCTCGTTGAAAAAAAAAATAATATTAAAAATAAAGTATATTTAGAAAAACTAAATAATGGATAGTAAAAATAAATGTTGACAGTTTTAGTTCAATATTTTCACATTATTTTTAAGATAGGGGTCTAAGCTACCTCTCCAAAATATCTATAAATATGTCTATGATTAATTATTTAATATAATTTTTACTATAAAGAGCCCTTAGTTACTATGATTTTTTGTTAGATAAATAATTTATTTTCAAATGCGTATAAATATAATATATATAATTATACAATGTAATATATTTATTAAAAAAGGGCTTATTGCCAATACTTTCGAGGACTAAATGAAATATCAAAAGCTCTCAATGAGTCAAAATGTACAAGCACAGATAATTTTTAATTTAATAGAAATATATATATTTATAAATATTTAAAAAACCTTTAGTTATCAAATATATATTTAGATAATTTAACATTTTTGGGGGGGCTGATTTAAATTTGTTCGAGGGTCGGATGCGGTCCTTGAGCCTTTGTATGAAGACCCATTCTTTATACTGCCTATAATCCGATAGAAAAAAATGGTTTCTATTCAAATTTTATCAACCTTGGATACTTTATTTTATTACATTATTTTACTTTATTATAATATTTTACTTAAAAAATAACTTACTTATACTTTGTTTTATTTTCATCGTTATTTACACAAAAAAAGGTGTATGTAAAATAATTTATACGAATACGTTTTACTTACTAACAGTGCTTTTTCCCTTGGCCCTAAACAAAATTCTCAATTAAGTTTTTCTTGATTTTAAGATGACATAAGCAGTATTCAGTGACATGGGAACATTTTTTAAAAAATAACTCAGTGGTAATCAGGGACTGCCGCAGTAAAGATATTGTATAGCAATTTTGTTGCAATGTATCATGTAATTATAACTATTTATTTTTGTATTTTATTAATTCAAGTTACACTTTTTGAGTATGGTGACCGAAAATAAAAATAATTAAATAAATAAATATAAAAATATACAAATAAATAATAAATTATTATTAAAGACTGGATTTAATTGCGTTAAAAATACTTAAAATTGCACTAAAAAGATGCCAAAATTGTGATGAAAATGTATCGAAATTGCAGTAAAAATATGTTAAAACTGCAATAAAAAATACATTAAAATTACAAAGTAAAATCATATCAAATGTATAATTATTAATTACTTAAATAATATTATGGACATTAATATATTTACAAAAAATATAATTTTTCTAAATTTAAATTTATAATTATGTAAATCTCTAAATTGTGTTCTTGAAAATTTTATTGTCTGTTGTTTAAATGTGTTTAAATAATAAAAAAGTATGCGCAACATCTACATTTGTTATCGGTGCATATTTAAAATTATTTTAAAACTTTTGTGTCATATATAAATTAACATTTGGATTTCTTACCATAATCTCAGACTAAGTTTTAATAGTTTTATATACTACATTTTTTTCTATGGCATATTTTAATTTATCTTTAACTATTTTCCTATTGGGACAGGGAATATTTATCAAAATATTTTCAGTTTCACTAATATGTTTAAATTATTAAATAATTGGTTATTTGATTTTTCTAAAATTGTAAGTTTTGTGGATAGCTCAGATAAATATAATTTTAAAAATGCTAAATTACATTTAACTACATGTAAAAATTGGCGTTGTAGTTAAATTTTTATTATAAAATTACTTTAGAAAAAATTATTTGTATATTTTACTGTGTGAAGTTTAAAAAATTTGCAATAATTGCAAAAAATTGCATGATTCAATTTAATATGAAGACTATAATTAATATGATTTGTAAACATATTTGATCCGATTTGATTTACCTGGTATCAATAAAAAGTTGCTATATCAATTAAATCCGGTCTTTAATTATTATATATAAATTATTATAATAATTAATTATTATATATTTTATCTCTAAATACTTAGAGAGTTCGGAGCATTATAAATAGGAATATTAAATTAATACGCGGCAAGCACGTAAAAATAAATTAGCACAGAACAGCGTAAATTACAGATTGTCAACAAAAATTCAGATCAGACAGTTAGGGTGCCTTCACACGTAGCCACTTAGCAGCGCTTCTTAGCAACGTGTGAATGGCGCTGCTCGTGTTTTTTGAAGCCCGTCAGTGGCACTGCTCGTATTTTTAGAAGCGCGTCAGTGGTGCTGTTCATGTTTTTAGAAGCGCGTTAGTGTTGCTGCTCATATTTTTAAAAGCGTAATTAGTGGTACTACGAATGTGTATCGGTAGACAGTTTGTGAAGGCAAAAACATACCACATCAGTCTCAAAATGGACGTGGAAACTGAATTATTGCTGGCGATGTTATAAATTAAAAAAAAAAAAATGTAAAAATACACCAAGAAGATTCTAGGTACATCTACTGCTTCTGGAAAGACCGAACAGAGGATTATTTAATACACTATTTGATGACATAGAAGGAAATGATGAAAAATTTTTTCCATATTTTCGTATGTCAAAAAATACATTAAAAGAACTTTTATCTGGTATCAAAAATAAAAAATAAGAGCTATTGACAGCACTCAGAATGATCAATAAAGATTGATATTAAAATAATAATTGAACTCGTTATGCGGATTAATCGCAATACTAACGCGCTGCCGACGCGCTGCTGACCAGCTACAAAAATAGACGCGCGATTGTGGTTGCGTGTGAAACCCCCAATCTAAAAACACGTTCTATCTCGAGAAGCGCGACTTTTAGTCGCCGCGTTCTGCGGCGAAGCCAGCCACTGACACCGTCTGTGACGCTTCAAATTAGTGGCCGTGGTCATGTGTGAAACCATCTATATAAACTAATGTTTTTCCAACAGCAGCGCTGCTAAGAAGCGCTGCCGAGTGGCTACGTGTGAAGGCGCCCTTAAACTTGTAGATACACAAGTCGGCAACTCCAATTTATATCTAATTTCATCATTGATATATATATGTATATTGTATATTATAGGTACATTTATACCTGCTACCTGCAAATATACCTGCAAACAATAGCCGACGAACGCTGACTTTCTACCGGGGATAGCGCGGTACAACTAGTTCGGTTCGCCGCGCGGTAGTCTGAGAGGGGGATCTTAGCGTTCAGGTACAGGCAAGCTTTTACGTAACAAAATTTTTTTTTCTGTCACCACGCTTCTGGCGTGGTGACAGACCATCACCAAACCCAGGTCCGCGCTAAGAGTTATACAATAGCTTAAAAATTGTAACAAAATTACAGTTAGTTGTTAAATTCTCATGCGTAGATCTACAATAAATTGGCTGGGGGAGGGTAATTTTTTCGAAGTTTCAAAAAAAATATACACAATTAAAAACTAATAACAATAAATTACTAATCAAAATTAGAACTTTAATAACTATTGTTAATTATAATACTTATATCATTGATTAAATATTGTATATTTAATCAATGCTTATATTTACTCGTCAACAATATTATCGTTATTAGTTTATAATCACTCTTAATATTTCTAGAATTTTGGTAGAAATGATGAGCAATATTTTAGTATTTTAAAAGATGATGTTTAAATAAATTTATATATATATAAACACAATATAAATTTATAAATTAAAAAACACAATTTATCCATATAATAATTCATGAATACCAAGGACCTAATCAAATTTGAACAGATATGAAGTTTTTGACTGTTCTTTGAAGTTTAAACTGTAACATCAAAACCTTTTTTATGGGAAACTAAAATTAACTAAAACTTTTATGCCATGGAAATTTCCAAATAATAGGACTTGAGGTTTTTTGAGTTTGTATGAGTCTATCTTCATAGATAGGAAAGGGAGAACTATTGATATAGACCAAAAGGTCACTTGAATAGTATAAAAATTAAAAACGTTGTACTTTGGAACTTGGTGGTATTTAGTTCCATTAATTTTTACTGTTTTCGGACTAATATTTATCACTCAAATTGATTGAACAAAAGAAAAAAAAATTTACTAAAAAAAACCTATAACGAGGAAATATAAATTTAACAACAAATTTAGGATGATGTAAATTAATAATAGTCGATTTGAATATTTATTAGACAAAAAAAATATAAAATGTATAAATCATATTTTTTGTTCTAGTAGTCAATTTTAATTGTGTTATAAGGTAAATTCAAGTCATAAAAATATTGAAAATTATATACTAGCAAAGCAAGAAAACTTTACTTTAAGAATAATTGTTTTCTTCTATTTCTTTAGGGAATACATAGTTAAAAAGCTTGGATATAATAAAAATCATTATAAAATAAAACAAAAGTAATTAAATTACACTAGGTTAATAACGATGGTACACTATATAATTAAAGCTAATTTATTGACAAAAATGCATAGGGATAATTAAAACCTACAAAAATAAATTCTCAACAATTGCACAAGATTTGCATACCTACCCAAAACAAATTACTTTATACTCACAAAATGCTGAACATTTTGATTTTGTTAACGAGATGAATAAAAAATTAAATATTTATTTTTATTTTTATTGAAGTAAGTATTTTATGTAAACCTTTTTCAATGAATTGATTAAATATTTAATTTATAAAAAAGTTTATGATCAGAGATTAATTTTAGAACTTTGGCAACAAAAAACTAAATTAAAAAAAAAAAAATTGCAATCTACATTATTTAAAAACCTATATAACAAATTGCATAAAGCACTACTATACTAATAACAGAATATAATTCATATTATTTAAATATATATTAATTATAACTTGAGTTAAGCAAAAAATTATTCACAGCTGTCAAAATAAAATATTAATTTTCAAGCATTCTACATAAGATATATTCTTTATATTGAAATTAATTAAAATAACTTTAAACTCAATCAATATTTGAAGTGAAAGGAACATTGATTATATTTTAAAATTAAAAAGCTAAGCAGAAAAGCATACGTGCATATGAAGCAAATATAAATTATTTTTAATATATTTCAGTATTGCTAATAGTAGATCAATTATATAAAAACATACAAAAGATTAGCAATGATTAATAAGCAATTATAATCCAGTGTTTCTTTAAATACAAAATTATAACATCAGATCTGTTATGTAAATATTTTAGTAAAAACTTTAACTTAAAACTTGTTTTATTATAAAACTCATCAGTAAGTAATGAGAAAATGTAATTGAGTTTTATTTTATTGCTACAATTTAACACTTAGTACTGACCTATTTTGTATTACCAAAATATACTACTATACCTGTTTGAATAAACTATTTTAATTCTTATGATGATTAATATCAATTTTATGTCAATGAGTTATTTAAACATTAATACTGTTGAAGATAATATGATCTAAAAAGCTTTGCAGCAGAAGCAAATAAATTATGCAAAAAAATTTATTATCAACATATAAGATTTGACGAAAATTATTTTTTTGACTTACAAATTTTGTATGAAAGAACATAAATTTTTTAATATGTACAATGTCATAGGAATATAGACGAAACATGTGTGCATACAATCCGTTAATACGATTTGCTAAGATTTTCAGTACGTCCAAGCCTTTCCTGTCTTTTTCTGATTCAACAACTTGTTTCTACACGGGAAAAAATGCCATGTTACTAGATATAATTGAACTCAGTGATCATGCAACAGCGCGGCGACGGTTCAAACTTACATCATATTCTTTCTTGGTCTCGAAGAACAATTGAGTTTCGGCTACGATGTGTTGTAAACATTCCCCAATGGTGGACTCGGAGCGTTCAATTTTTTCCGAGAATGATTTACGTTCTACAGCTAGCTTCCTATGAGGGAGTGCAAAAACGATGATTTTTCAAAACATGTATATAGGGAAGAAAGGAGAGAAAAAAATGAAACGTAAAAACAAATTATGTCACGGCGACAACACTCACATTAAGCCACAACTATTGGTGACGAACAGATCTTCACTCTCGGCATCTTCTATAGTCGGATTAGACATGGCTGGTTAGGCACGACCGTCGGATGACGACACGGACGAACAGCAACGACACCGAGAGATGTGCGAACGAAAACGGTCCGGATTTCTATGGGGATAGCAATTATTTAATCACGCGCCGTTCAGCGATTACAACTGCAAAACGACGAATGAGCGCGATAACGAGGAAAACGAACAGCGGTCGGGCAATGTTGTGTGAACGCGGTACTGTCGCACGGGGTGGACAAGAAACACGAGGGTATAGTGTAACCGCGACGATATTAAAATATCATTTAAATTATTGTTTTCAATCCAGACGGCGACGGAGGAAGGTAAATTAGTCAATGACAAAGGAACGGATCGCAATCGATATGATGGGGGAACGGACGCGGGACAATGATTACGGAAAACAAACGCCTTCTGATGGGCGTGTACGGATGGTATTTATTTTCTCTTTCTTTTCCCTCTTTTTTCCACGGCCGCCCCGGAGCATCGATACTGAAATCACGGACGGTTCGGTTGCAGCGATGAAACGAAAGACAGACGCAGTTAGCTGGACGAAAATCGATAGAGCTCGAGTCGCACGTACTCATTTGTCGTGTCCGCGGCTGGCCGACGCGCATCTCCGGTGCTGCCAACAACCCGAGACGACCGTCCCTTTCCACGCGTTTCTAACGTCATTGGTACCGTTCACGACGGGATTTATTATGCTTGTGATAATTATAATATATTATTATAATTATGAGTATATCGTTCGTCCGTCCTAGGAATGACAAGACTTGAAACTCCTTGTTATCGAGGTGATAACATAAGTCCTGATAGTATTAACACGGGACGACGTATCAGTGTGCATTTTTTTAATATTATCGTAAAGCTCGACTTGTACAGTAATCCGTGATCCATTGTGTCCCTTTTCAACTAGGATAGTAACTGCACATTAAATTAACTGCTCAAACATTTAGTGTTCTCCACTTGTTTTCTGTATAATCACCTTCCTCGAGTTACACCGTTTGTGTCGGTAAATTTTTACAAATACAAATTTCAAAATACGCATCGTGTGCGTGTTTATATAAGGCAGATTATTTTTAAGCGTTATACTAATATTTTTATTATTTGTTTGTGTTAAGTTTTACTCTATCGTGCACTCGGAAACAAAAAAAACGGTGCTATCGATCAGAAGCATATTTGGTTCATTTTTCAACTTGTACATCACACCCCGTTTTTCCATTGTTCGCTTTACGTATATTTCAGTATTATATGGCCGTCATAGTATATACCTATTAGGTTTAAATATCGGGAATACCCATAGTCTGCGGTGTTAAGGTATATATAAACTTGAAAACCAAACTATCATCAGAATATCTTATGTAACTTTAGTTTTTATGTGCAAAATAGGTACTCTTTAAACAAAAGAGGAATGTGACCGGTAGTATAATAGTAATACATGTTCAGCAACTATGAGACATTACATTTGTTCCAAGGTAGTTATACATATATAATGATTTGTAATTATTGAGAAAGCATTCTCATACCATCATGACCTATCACTGATGCTCATCACATTTTAGAGCTGGCTCATCAGTATCTTTTTTATTCTAGAGCAAAATTGCTTATTCATTTTTATTTATTACAACTCCCTCTTTTTATTGATATAGAAATCACAAGATACCTAATTGCCTCGTTGTAGATGCTCATAGTGAAATAATATGTATATATATATATATATTATAATATTAATATATCTAAAATACCTTTTTAAGTATTTTGTCTTATAGATTATTTTAATCATTATATTTGTTTAAATAATTACTTATCATATACATTTTTCTTTATGTATTATTAATTTTATAATATACATCATTACATAATTTATTTTCATTATTTTAAGCATAATGAAAAAACTTAAAAAAAATGAAAAATAATACAACCAACTTCTAATCTAATTATTATTATATATACTTTATGAAATTTAATATGTTGTCAGCAAGCACAAAAACAACATAATGTAAAAAAAAACACTACTCCAAAAAGAATAAAGAAAATATTTTTAATTTTATGCATTACACATTGAATTTTTATTTCACATTATTTCACAAAGTACAATAAATCCAGAGCAAATAATAGTATAAATACAAAAAAATATGTAATATTAATAAAAATATTTTAATTTCAATTGCATTTTATGAATTTAATTAATTCATTGAGGAATCCATAGTTAAAATCTTACACAATTTAATTTAAAATTAAAAAAAACATGTTTAGAGTGACTTAACAAGACAATCTGGTAACATTATATTCTTACAGCAATAAATATGTCAGTATTTTTGTATCTTTTAGTATTGATGATTAAATAATGATATACCTAATCAGTAAATGTTTTTTTAGACATCCAAACAAGGTTTTTAAGTTTAAATAAATTATTATTAAATTATTGAAGAACTTCAAGTATCAATCTAAGAGTTGACCATGGGACCAGTCTACACATATTTTACCATGTTCTGGAACTACTGATGTAGGATATGATATTTTTAGTATTTTATATTTAAAGATATTTCATTTTTTAATGCTAAATTTATTACTAGTTCTAACAAATTAACAGTATAAACATTTAGATTATATATTAAAATAGTATTAATAATTGTAACAATCTTTAAATCTAAATAAACTTAAGTTAAATTATGTATTATTCTTCCTAAACGGAAATGTAAATTACACTAGGATTTATAATATATGCTTGGGTAATAAAAAATTTTATTTGTAAAAATATTTTAATATAAGCAAAAACAGACTGTGACTTCTTATATTACACCTTAATTCAGCTTTTATGTTTACAAATTCTATTTTCAAAATATTTATCAATTCAGGGCTCAAAAATGAAAATGCTCTTTTATAAAATTGTTATGTTTCTATGTGGTAATCACGAGTATAATCATACTTAATTAATCCAACCCAAACATGTGTAAGTATAAAAAAAATTTAATCATTGAGAGTAATATTCAAGACAGAAATCACTTACCAACATCATTTTGGCCAAAATGAGAATCCATAGTTAATCATATAATTTTCTAATAAATATTTCATTAATTGTTTTTGAAGACTTTTCAAATATAATCATGAGTGTATATAACTGTTTACACTTTGGCTTAATTTCAATCAGTTATTTATACAATTTATGAGTAAAAGATAAATCTTTAATATTATGGGCTTATTTCATATACTTAAGTTTAAAAGCGGAACTGATGTCTTCATATTCAACAGATATGGCTTGATCATACAATTCTCCTAGCTACAGTGGAATAAGAATATATAAGTTTATGAACTTGAAATAGGTATTTAGATATATAGTCGACTATCGGTAACTCGAAGTTCAAGGAGGAAAAAAAATTCGACTTACTAAAAATTTTGAGTTATCAAAAATTTTAAAAAGTATGTTTTTATTTTGAAATCATTTTTACATTAATGAAATAAAAAAAAATGTTTTCGTACATTAGTATTTACATTTTATTATTTTTAAAGAACTGGTGTAAAGTTAATTGCTTTTGTTTATTTAATACATTGTTCTCAATTCTATTTTCTAAAATATCTTGTGGCTTAAATAAATAATTTTAAAATTATTTTTTATGTCTTGGTCTAATGGTTGTTATACAGACATAGTATTAGGAGATAAAAATTGCACTTGAATAGTATTAAAAGCTAATTTTAAATTATGTGCAGCACAATTATCAATAAAAATTGAGACTTTCCTTTTCTCAGTGACCATTTTTTAAATTTCATTAATAATAAATTAAAAATTTTAGGCGCCATATAGGATTTTTTGTTCGCATAATAATCTAATGGTAATGATATTACTTGTTTGAAATCGTAGTTTTTTCAACTTATCAATCAAAAGTGGTCTTAATTTTTCTGTGTCAGACATATTTGCTCCTAACAGAAGTGTTACTCTTTATTTACTATGTTTTCCACCTGAAAAAAATTTGCCTTTAAATATGAATTTTTTTTTCAGTTAAAAATTTGAAAAATAATAAGTCATGAGCGAAAAATAATCGCCTTGATAAACAATTTTTAGTACTTAATTTGGATAAGAAAATTCGAGATATCGAAAACTTGTCAAATTAATTTTCGAATTAATAAGATTATTTAAATATTAAGTGTTATTGTTATTTGGAGGGGAATTTTAATTATTCGAGATATCGAGAATTTTGAGTTATCAAGATTTAAGTTATTGAAAGTCAACTGTATTAAGATAACTTAAATATAATTATAATTAGTATTTATGCATAAATTAAAATGAAAAATATGTTGCTATTCACAAAAAGAAAGTTGTTTAAATAAATATTATAATATCATTAATAATAAGGTTCAACAAAATTTTTAAATATATTGATGGACAAAAGTAAAAAGTCTTATAAAATAAGGCATCATTTCATAGGTAATAATATGTAAATATCTTACTTTACTCTGGTAGTTGTCACTTTCTTAATAAAAATTCATGATTTCCCATAAAAGTAATGACTTTTCTTTCAATTCTTGAACACAGTCTCTACAAAACTCTTTCCATTACTTCTAACGTCTTCAGATCAGCATAATGTTTCAATATAGGTATCAGTCTCAACATCTATATTATTATTATACATCTCAATTTCTTTCACAAATATAGCTTGGTCAGAGCTTTTAGAAATATATCGGCTTTTATAACATATTACATTTTTATTATTGTAAAATTATTAAAAAAATTTGTCACAGACATATCCAATAAGTGTAATGTTCATTACTTAGTGCTCCTAATATCATGTGCTCATTGAAATACTTTACTCATTGTTTTTGAATAAAACAACGAAATCGTGTTATTTGTAAACCCTAATATTTTCCAAACATCTATATCTGTAAAATAATGTTCAGCATAGATAGATATATTATATCGTTGAATTTATAACTGTACCTTTTAAGTAGTATAGGTAATGATAAGATTGATAATATTAATCGGTTTTCGATTACGATTATTGTTATTTATAATAATACATACATACATATGTACTTGGTTATTTGACCTTCGAGTTAACGAGGTATGTTCATTGTACATGTTATATTTTATTATATAATTTCGAGTTATAAGCTAAAATTCAACTAAAAATTACTTCGAAATTCGAATTATAGAGAAAATTTATCACATATATTATATGTCGGAAGCCAGGGGCCAAGGCATTCCTTCGAGACATTGAAAATTCGACTTATAGAGGTTCGAGTTATCGAGGTTCCACTGTACTTACTTATATGATACTTTGTTACTATAAACTTATAACTATTAAAGTATATATTTGTATTGAGATTTATCAATAAAAGGTTAAATTTGATAATATTATTACAATAATACTAAGTACTTACCTATATAATTAATATAATATTGTAAGTACCTACTTTTATATTAGTGAATAATATGTTATATTAATTTAGTTTTTATTAGTTTTTATAACTGAGTTGGTCAGCAAATAATTTATGATTATTACAGTAATATTTAATATTATAATGTAATCAAAATTTGGATTCAATATGATAATATAATAAATTAAAAATATTTTTTTATATTTTCATTGTGTATATTATTTTTATTATAATAGATATGGAAAAAACATAAAGTTAAAGTATACTAAAAATATATCATTATACATTATTTTATTTAAGGATAATTATTTTTTATGATATTAAAACTAAAATTTTAGTAAATTAGAATTACACTAAATTAACTGAATAAAAAAAGATACTACAGATTGAAATAAAAATATTTTGTAAATATCATGTATCTACTATTTTGGGATTGAAAATATTTTTCCTTTATGAAAATTGTTAATTAAATTAACAATGATAGTTGTTCTAATAATCTGTCAGAATATTTAATTTTTGTTTAGAAAAATAAATTATTATATTTTTTAGCTTTTCAGAACATAACTTAAATATAAATATGTACTGCAAGCATTAGATATAAAAAAAAAAGTATTTGTAATAAATTATTAGATATAACTATAAAATAAATTATTGGATTTTCAATCCCAATACTTAAAAATGTTTTTTGATAATTTTATATAAATGAAAAATTCATGGTTTTTTTTGCAATCCAGTAAAACTATGAAAATAAAAATTGATTTAGTTTTTCATACAGCTCCCAATTAAAATGCGAATAACTCTAAAATACCCCAAAAAAATTTTTTTTTAAAAAATAATATTATTTACGAACATATTTCTATAGGTAAAACGTGCTGCCTCCCCCTCCCCCCATTTAACGAATGCATTTTTTCTTTTATTTACAAAATCCTTACGGAACTCCATGTATTTCGTTTTTTGTATTAGTGTTGCAGGTACAATAGATTACATAGAAACTATTGAGTAATATAAGTGATCTACATGGTTGTCCGAAACCTTCAGTATATTGCCACTGCTCTGATTCACTCCATCCACCTGTTGCTGCGGAAAGGAAAATAATACCACATCGAATACGGTAAGAACACGGTAATGAGCTCGTATATAAACTTACGAAAAACCTTTGCTTGCGCTGTTTTAGTAAGGCGCATCCGGTCTGGATCTGACTAGATGATCGTCGATGGTGATCTAATGGTCGCTTTGATTGACGCTCGTCGACGAGTTTTCTGGAAAACGAGCGATACATTAGTGGCTACACGGGTCGGTTGATATCACTAGGGATGAATAAAATGGCTACGCTCTTGCCATACACATGCAACATCATGTCCTCAGCAGCGGAACTGTTCGGGAACGACGAGCCGCTTCTAGATGCAGCCATTGTGGTCACGAAGGGAAAATGGCGATCGAGTAGGATCCGTTCGACAGGGGCTGAAATGAGTACTTATGCAGCCGTTCTACGTGTCTTGATCTTCTAACGGTACGCAACAAAGTCACCGAGCCTGCGTGAAGCGAACGTAATAAATAATTAACCTGTTAATTACGGTTGCAGCATCGGCTTCAACTTCTAAGTAAAATGTCCGTACAATAAATGATACCGAAGCATCATCAATAGAGACGAAGCTGTGGAATCTATGCGCAATGGGCCGTTTCTTCTAATTCCGTCACACTCAATCCTTGGGGTGTGACTAACCCACGCGCTTCCTGGATCTCCGGTCCTCGGTGCATTTAATTAATATACCGGGCGACAAAATTATCATCTATTAAATATTTTTTATCGCCTAGAAGACGATATATTTAATAACTAGGCAACAACGATTTTTTTGACAAAAATGAAGATATTTATTTCCATTTACTAGCTGCATTTTATTGCTTAATTTTTATATTTATATATTCAGAATATTATAATTTTTTTGCCGGGAGGGCCAGGAAATTCGAAGTTGTTTGGCCACCTTGTTAGTCAAATTACTCCTAGTCTTTATTATCTGTTGTTAATGTATGCCTTAATTATTTATGCCAAAGCCATGTGCTAATAATAAAGATATTTTTAATATTAAGAATTTTACTATGAATATTGTAATTATTGATCACCTCAACCAACGGAAATATTTGACAATGGTTATCAACATTCCCTAGAAAAATAGACATTTTATGTTAAAGCTGATGTCAGCTTATATATATAATAGATAAAAGCACTATCTTTAATTATTAAAATTAATTAAATCATTAAAAATAAAAATGTTATATTTTTATGTAATATTTTATAATTCATATTTATAGGGTTTTTTTTATGTGGATATATTAATTTTATAGATTATTCTCGGTTTTTTTTTTTTTAGTATTATCTTTGTTACCTACAACAATGTAATCAACTTTGTCCCATTAAATTATGTAATATGATACTATAAGGTCTATAATATAAGCAATTATTGTGTTTAAATAACTCTGTATAATATATAAATTTTTTTTTAAAAAAAGCATTATTTCATTTATAAATAAATCTTTATTGAGTAATACCACACCATTGTTAAAAATGACATTGAACTTTAAAGGGTAATTTTCTTCCTCAATATAAAAAAAAGGTTAAGGACAAGGTAATAGGAAAGAAACAAAAAATTCCATTATTCTCAAATAATTTTGTATTATAAGCACATTATTAATGTAATTCCTTAAAAATAAAAATTAAATTATATAAAATAATTAAATTAAATTAAATTTAAATGAAAAAAATTAAATTAAAAATAATAATTAAATATGTAATTAAAAATATATTATGGGAAAAAAAAGTAGTAAATATAAATTATACTTAAATTAAATTAAATACAATTCAAATATAATACAAATAGTTATTATAATTTATAGATATAGAATTCATAATCAGTGATAGATGTACACTTTATATTCAACTTACAAAGTATATGAAAACAGAAGATATTATTATTAGAAGGTTCAACACAACTCATAATGACTTTAATTATATTATGTATAAGTTATTCATCATCACTGGATGAATATGGTTCGTTGAATTTTAATCTTACAAATTCCCCATCAGATTCTTCATCGTCATCAAATGTAACGTAGTCTGGTAAATTGCAACCTTCCAAGTGTTCTATAACTCTATTTCGGCTGAACATAAACCTGAGGCAAATTCTACATATCCAAAAAACTTCGTAATCTTCTGAACTATATCTGCACATTGTTCTTGGACAAAAATCTTCTTCCACAACTGATTCTGCATTAGTTTCTTCTTGTGTTTCTGTTTCTTCTTGTGTTTTTGTTTCTTTTTGTGTTTCTGTTTCTTCTTGTGTTTCTATTTCATCATGTGTTTCTGTTTTTTCATTGTAATCATTAACTGTGGAACAACTCGCCCCCTCGTTGACCTGATAAACCTGATTAACTTCAGTAGATGTAGAAGGAGCTGTGGATAAATGTAGAAAAAAAAAATTAATAGTTCATTAAAAAGTTTTTTAATTATAATGGGGGGGGGGAGGAGGAGGAAATTACAATTATCGATGTTATTGATTATTCTTAGTAATTGTTAATAAAAATAATTTTTTACTGAATATTAAGTAACAAAAAATTATTATTTAGGTTAATTGTTCTAGGAAAAAAACTATTTTGCTTACCTTCTTGTTCAGTTACACTAGCATCATCCTTTTCTTTTTTAACTTTTAGGTTTGCTGATCTATTGTTAGTTCTATCCATTTTAGGAACTGTGGGAAATACATAAAGAAAATTCAATGTTTTTAATTAAATATTAGGTATCCTAGGATAGTTTAAATTCTAAAATGGGAAAAAGGAAATTAAAACTATCGATTTTATTGAATTTTCTTACATATAGTAATTACTAATAAAAATAATTTTCTACTGAATATTAACTAACAAAAAAAAAATAAATTAAAAAAAAAATATGCTTACTTTCTTCTTCAGTTGTGCTAGCATCATCCTCTTCTTTTTTAATTCTTAGGTTTACTGATTTATTGTAGGTTCTAACTATTTTAGCAACTGTGGGAAATACATAAAGAAAATTCAATAATTTTCTTAATTAAATATTAAGTATCCTAGGATAGTTTAAATTTTAAAATGGGGAGAAGGAAATTACAATTATTGATTTTATCGATGGTTCTTACATATAGTAATTGATAATAAAAATAATTTTCTACTGAATATTAACTAACAAAAAATTATTATTTAGGTTAATTGTTATAGGGGAAAAAAATGTTGCTTACTTTTTTCTTCTTTAGTTATACTAGCATCATCCTTTTCTTTTTTAACTCTTAGGCTTGCTGATTTCTTGTTAGTTCTAACTATTTTAGGAACTGTGAGAAGTACATAAATAAAATTTAATAATTATTTTAATTAAATATTAGGCATCCTAGGATAATTTAAATTTTAAGAAGGAAAAAAACTACAATTATCAATTTATTTTGAGTGTTCTAAGATCTATCATATTCTAGCAAAAATAATTTACTACAAAATATTAAATTAAATAAAAAATATCAGTTTTTAAAATGGTATTCTTTGGAAATTTTATATGTAAAAATATGATTAATTTTCATAGTGAAGTAAAGTCAAAATTCCTATATACTGTTCATTTCAATTTTTTACATCCCCTACACATATACCAACCACCCGAATATTATTCTTTTTACTGCAAGTCTTTAATATTTCTATAACTTTATCAGTTAATTTTACCTTATCTAACAATTTTATATTTTCAATAGTAACTAATGGTTTATTTATATTCTATGGACTTAAAACTTTTTGTTTACAAATTTTTTCAGCAATTTGTATTAAGTTTTTTTAATTCATCATACAATATACAAGTAATTTTTGATGTTAAAATACTGTCATGAATACTTGGAAGATTCTGAAACTAATGATTACAAACATTTATTTTGCTTTGATTACATCTTTTTTTTAATATATCAAAATTTTTAGACATTTGGAAAATTTTATAAGTTAATTTTCATATTTTGGCCCATTAATATGGAAGTAATGTGTCAATGATTCATTTGAACACTTTATTTAACCTAATATTAATTTATACTTATTATATTATGTATACTATTATATAATTTGTTGATAAAATCAATATTAAAATTTCAAATGTTTGTGCTTTGACTAATAACATTTAAATAATGAAATAATTTAAGTTTCATATTAATAATTAATAAACAGGAATAAGTATTACATTTTCAATAAAGAAAAAAAAAGATAAAACTATTGATGATATATAAATTTATAAGTAAATAAAAAAAAAGTTTGTATAAATAAATAAATACTTATCCTAGAGTATTTTTTATAACTGTTATGTACGACCGGATAAAAAGTAAAAATTCATTGTCAGGTATATACAAAGTCAATAAAATCGTGACTGAATATAAAAAATAAAGAAAGGAATACATTGAAAAAAAATTGGTTGTTTTACATAGAGATAATTTGTTTTAATAGAAAAGTTAAAATGCGTTCTTATTAGACAAATATATGTTAAGAAATATAAATACTTTGGTTATTATTATTAATTATTATCTTAAATGTATTAATAAAATATTATAAAAATGGTTTGTACGTTTAAAATATAAATAAAATTATTTTTCTTAAATTCACTGTGTATGTGTAAATTCTAAAACTGAATTCATACAAAAAAAAAAAAAAAAATAATTAAAAGAAAAAAAAATTTTTTTGGTATTTAATATTTTTTAGTCTGTATTGATATCAAAATTTAAATGATGTTTATTTTCTAAAACAAGTATAGCAAATTTTGTATATATATTATATTTGTCCTTGCCTTTATAAAATATATTACAATTACATTTAAGTTTATACATACTAACATTTTCAAAAGTAGGGGGATTTTTTGTAAAGATTTTAGTTTTATTCTTTATATGTTTGATTAAATTATTATCAGTTTATAAAGCCATTTTTAAATTATTACCTAGTATTATTATTTAAAATTTAGCAAATTTTTTTTAGATATAAGATATATTATTTTGATATTTCAAACTAAAATAATTGCCAATATTATTTGGTGAGTAGTTTTTTTTTATATTTAAATTTAAATTATTTTTATGGGCTAATATAGATAATATTGATTTTGTGTTAATAATTAAGTTTATTTAATTAAATACATTCAAGTCTATGTAATATTGAATTATATATACCAGTATTTTTTTCATTTATTCATAATAATTAAACGGATGAAGTTCTTAAATAAATGGTTTAAATTACAGAAGTAAGATTTTACAATTATGATAAATTTGGTATAGTATACAATGAGAAATTCACAAAAATTAATATGAATAAAAATTACAAAACTATTAATCTAAGAAACAATATAATAAAGAGATAAGAGTAAGACATACAAAATAAACTTAACTAATTAAAATTAAAAGTATAATTATTCCCAGCAATCATTAACTTATTTGCAGGAATATTTAATATATAGTTTTTGTCAGAATGAATAGTATAAAAAAGTTCAGAATTTCTGGTATTAAAGGAATTAATTTTAAAGTTGATCAAGTAAAATAAATAAGGATAATTGATTAAGATAGAAATTAATTTATGGAGAAATTTCAAGATCAGTTGTAAACATCTAGTTTTAAGCGGAATAAGATTTAAATAATTTAAAATATTATCACATGAACCATGTGGTGGCCTATGTATGTTACATTTGAAAGACATAAATCACAAAAAGTTATTTTGTACAGCTTCAATATTATCATTTTGTTTAGACGTATTGTTTATCCAAATTAATGGACATTAATCAAGGTTCGAACAAACCAAAGAGCAATCTTTACAAGAATGTTTGATGAAAACAAGAATACGCATTGCTTTGTTTTTAATAAATTCAGTGTGATAAGAAAAATGTAGCTTATAATCAAATACTATCCCAAGATTCTTAAAATTAGAGACAAGTTCCAGATTAGAATTAGAAATAAAATAGTTAAAAATAATTGGGTTCTTGATTAAATTAAAACGCATGACCTTACATTTTTCAATATTTGAAAATAGATCATTCCTTTCACACCAATTTTGTTAATTGTTTAAATCCGTTTGTAAATTAGTAACATCTTGAGTATCTTTTATTATTTTTAATAGTTTGATGTCATTAGCAAATAAATTTTTTTTTAGACTTTTTAATAACATCTGGTAATTCAATAATGAAAATATTAAAAAGGAGAGTTGATAAGTGGTCGCCTTGGGGGATATTAGATGGAACACTAAATTTGGGAGGGCAAAAATTTTGACATTAACTGTTTGGAAACGGTTAGTTAGAAAGGAGCAAAACCAGGAATAGAATTGCTAGAAAATATATTGGAAACATTGATTTAAAAGGGAAAGATAATTCTGAAAAGGTAGATGTATAAAGAATTCATAATTTAAATAGTAGGAATAAGTTATAAAATAAATAAATATATGACAGAGGAGAAAATATGTAAGCAAAATATCAAAAGAATTAAACAAAGAGGCTTTTCAATTAATAGTGTTATCTCAAAATCTATCAATTACAAATATAAAAAAAACTTTAGAAAAATTTGAGATTATAAGATTTGTTGAAATCAAACAATAAGGTGAATGGAAAAATAAAAAAACTTAACAGAGAATTGGAAGTTTTAAAAAATCATATAAGTCAAATAAAAATTGCTCAAGTTTAGCATAGCAAATCAAATTATAGAAACAACAATTATCAAAATATATAGAGAAATAATTATAATCATAATAATAAATTTAATAATATAAACTAACCATGTAGACCATTAAGGTTATATTATTTATCAATATAATCATGACACTGCCAATATTTATGCCAATGTATTTTTTATAAGGGGTTTCAAAAAAAAAAAAACAACAATTAGCTTTCTGTGTTCAATATCTAAAAAGCTTGACAATTAAAGAAATGTTCTTTTGATTTATTGATGTATTAGAAAATCGAAAATCTGATAAACAAATTTAAATGTATTGATTAATTAAACTTAAATTCCTTTCTTATTATTGCTGATTCATATGACGGCACGAGTTGTATGTAAATAAGTAAAATTGGTTTACATATAAAACACCAAGAAGCAATTTATGTTAATTCTATGACTCACAAGTTAAACCATGCGGTTGTTAGTACATTTTATCATATAACGGTATTTAAAAAAAATATATTTTCAAATAAAAATAATAATAAATTAATTTAGAGCATAATATATTGTATTTTTAGATAAAAATATACAATTTTTTAATTTAATTTCAGTAAACAATAAATGTATTCCACACATATGAACAGTTTATGTCCATTTTTTTTACCAACCTAAAAACTCTAAATTAAGTTTACTAGAGGAATTTTTGTTATAAATTAAAAAACTTCATTAGTATGAGTATTTAACACAAGATAGATTGCTGTCTTAGAAATGTTCACTAAAAAATGAAAATTAATTGACATCAATCATGATTAAAATATTACCATATTAATATGAAATATAGAAATATAATAACATAATTAATACAATATTTTGTAACAATGTTTTTTAAACTTATCCAACCATAACTTATTAACTAAACACTTAATCATTTTAGCCTAGTTTTTATCGAATTAAAACAAATACAATATATGATAAAATTATCTCAATAAATAATTTGAATTACCAATTTACTAATAAATTTAATTAGTTATTAAAATATAAAGTATGAGTAGGTCAATAATTATCCATGTAATAATTTGGAAAAAAGTTTTAGTAAAAGTATTAAAAATATTGGCAACTATTTTGATTATTGAATATTATAAATCTGCATTACACATCTATTTTAAATATTTGTAATGTTATAGTTTATCCACAATTATATTTATGAATATTACAAATTCTATGGGTACAAATTTTAGTCAGTTTTTTATTTTCCTTCAAAATGCATAAGAAAAATTGTCTAATACCGATTGTATAGCACACATAAATTATAAGTGACAAATGTTGGTAAAATGAGTTATGCAAAAAAGATTTTTGGCATTAACATTATACTTATTGTAAACAATGTTTTATAAATTACGAATGGAATATATTTATTACTCCGCTTAAAAGAAATTTTGTTTGTTTGAAATACAAGTTATTATATTAGTACATATATTTGTACTAAATACAATTAAGAATATCATAAATGTATCTCAATAAAAAAATGTTATCTACTATTATAGGCTTATAATGGTGGCACATAACACTACACATAAAATTAAAATACATTTTATCCATCAAACTTAAAATTGTTCATTAAAATAAATGTAAATAATTTTTTAATTTAAAAAACATTCACTAAGTAAAAAAGTTTCTGATGAAAAGTGAGATAAGGAACATATCTAGGAAAAAAATTAGTATTAATGATTGATTTTCAAAATAGTGTATAAGGTGAAAAGTAGCAGTTCTAAATTATAAGATAATAATAATAATAGAAAATTTAGAAATTTGATAAATAAAAATAACAAATTTCATACTCATATTTCGGTTGTTTTTCATCTCTTCTTCTGTAAATATTGTTGGCACCGAACCTGGATATAAAATTCTTCTAAGGCATTTTGTTTTAAAGTACTCGTGTTTAAAATGAAGAGAACATATTCTACTAGATGTATTGAAAAACGTATCGTCTAGTTTACATGCTTCAATCCATCGATACCTTTGATTTAGGTCACTGGGAAACCTAAATAAAAAATAGTACATTTATATTACATTTATATTTATATTATTATTACGTTTATTTAAATGATATAATGCAATTACCGATGTAAAGAAATATCAGGGTTTTTAAAAACTGTCGCACCGCAAACAATACAACCAGATTTGCTAAATTTGGACATTTTCTTTATAGAAGTATTAAAATATAAAAACACCTAGTTTAACTGAGAGACGAGAATTATAACAAAATGACAGCACTATTTTTATCTAAAAAAGATATAACTATAACTGTTTAAGATTAAATGAGTTCAATACTTCAAATGAACAAAATAGGTACAGAACACCGTAAACAATATAACTTTTAAAATTTGAAACAAATTTCTCAAAGTAAAAAAGAAACAATGACAACTGTTTAAGATTAAATGAGTCCAATATTTCACATGCACAAAATGGAATAAGAACGCCGTAAACAATATTTAACCTTTAGAATTTGAAACTAAATTTTATAATGTCTTTGACGTAAAATGCACAGCTGTTCCGTCTCCTCCAGAACATAACCGCGTCTTTGCCCCTATACACGTAAAATCCAAATAGGCGTGTCCATAGACACTGGATCGATTCGGTTTCACCCACCTCCCTTCCATCTGTTATACTCGAAAACGTAAGCGATGGTTATAAGAGTTTTTTTTTTTTACTTAATAATTTTGTACGGGAGGAATCGTAACAACAAAATTATATTTTCCATCATTAGAATAGGGGGAAAATGTTTAAAAAAAAAACTATAAGAAACTATATTGCATCATCCGCAAAAATTCGAGAAGTAAACAGATCGTTCAAATGTCGGCTTTAAATTTTATTTCACTACCACTTCGTACCGCGAGATCAATATTTCATTGTACATTACGTGAAATATATTCGTTACGATGGAAGGCAACTTCAGCGCCTCTGACTTTATTCACCTGGGGTTTATGACATGGTAGGTATACATCAAATATCGAAATGATGTGACCGATCGTCTCTTCTTCATAAGAAAGACAATATAATATGTGGTGAGCGCGTGTGATTATTTGCGAACATTATCAAACAAACGTACCGACGGACCGTACAGTCGCCGCCGCGTTTCCGAGAACGTTCTCGAACTAACGCGCGCCGTCCATTGCCGCCTCTAGAAAATTCTACGGCCTATTTAAGCGCCTCACCAATTGTTAATACAACAGGTCTGCGTTGTCATGTTCATATATTATATTAAGCATTGTGTTAACCATTTAACATTAAGGCTAGTCGCTGAAATGCAATTTTCAGTTGTGCGATAGTTGCGCAACAGTTTCATCATACCGCAATCACAAATGTAACTGTACTCTCGTGTCACATTATGATACATAGGATGTAATCGATCGATTTGTGACAAAACACAAACTAATTAGTTGGTCAAACTGATTAGTTGCATGTGAGCTGATTGTCATATATCACTGTGGAAGTCACCCGTGCAATTAAACTATTGCGCAACTATCGCGCAACTGAAAATTGCCAGTCAGCGACTAGCCTAATAGTTTTATAATTATATACCGTTTGTTTCTCACGCCCAAACCAAATAACCATAAATTAATCATAAATAAGGTCAAGCGATGGTTACCAGCCGTCTGATCAAATGTAACATTATTTGTCGATGATTTTCATCATCACGTTCACGATTTCATGGCGCGTCGACACGGCGGAAACGGATGCGGGACGGACTAGACGACGCCGCCGCCGCCGCCACATAACGACTCACGAAGCAGGTTGAATCGCTCATTCCGTGTTCGCGTCAACGAACAAACGCGTTCTACTCCATATTTATTCTCAAACGCAGTTGACGCCGTTGATGGATAGGCAAGGCGTCTGCATTCTCCGTATTAGCACGTTATTACCAACTGACGCCATTTTATTGTACTCGATCAAGTTCATACGTAATAATGACATACGTATGGTGTTCACTCATTGTCATAACCAAACGAGTGGAGGGGGATAGACCCTATGTTATTTTATCCAAATTTAGCCCGATATTTAAAAAATAATATTCACTTATTACAATAATAAACTTAATGAAGATAAAAAAAATTAATATTAATAGATTTTATTTTTATTTTTAATTTGTAAATTTAATTGTGTCAATGCACCAAGTATTTTTACAATATTAATAGATGAATTATAATGTACATATTTTTTTACGTTGCAATCGTTCGTTTTTATATTTTACAACGGATACGATTACGTTTTCTTTTCGAGCGGTTGGTCTCGTTGACTTCAAGTCGGGAGAGGTACCTTTTAGGCGATGACGAGAACACACCGGAGATTATGGTCGAAAAATAACTATTAATATAATTAGAAACACTTATATGGCTTCGTGTGACTATATAGATTACACAGATGCACCGTTTACATTTTACCAAGACAAGGTGTCTCGCCGTCCACTCAAACCTTAATTCTCGCTCCACATTTATATTATTAATTGGTTTTATAAACGTCGCTGGCTCCTTAGTCCAATCGACTGCACATAATATTTAATATTTATTTTCCACGCTATATATTTATAATCATACGACTGTAATGTTTTCGAAAGGTGCGAATCACCGATGTTCAGGAAAACGGTACGGAACGATAATTATAACAACAATAATAATAAGCAAACCTGATCACGGCTAATGGAAACAATATTAAATGCAGACTGATGGCAATGCTGGTGTGATGTACGGGCGGCGATGTTGCGAATACGACGGAGTCTTAAACGACGGCGATGGCGGCAACGCGCGGGCATAGCGAAACGAAACGATCAGCTCGGGCGGACGACCATGACGCGAAACTGCGTCGTCAACGCAAAGCAGACACGGTTGGGACATCGATCGGGCACCGGTCCAAGAAAAACGACATATACAATGCGAATGGATATCCAAGAAGGTCGAACAGCAAATACTCGGTGGCACTTGTTTTCGACAAAATATGTTCTCGAAAGTTGGACGTCCGCAGCGCTCCCGGCGAACCAGTTAACGCACACGGGCGTAGAGGGGACGGGGCAAAACTAATATCGTTAATGCGTTTAAGTTTTTTTTTTTTACGTGCACGTTCGATTTTGTTCAGACGATTTTATGGGTTATATCCTAGCAAGGGACAAAGTTCACTTCGATTATTTTCCAGAAATATTAACTACAAGGCTACGGTACTCCCCTCCAATATTTTAAACCAAGTTACACTAGTACCAATAATATACCTCCCAACATTGTGAATTCGCGAAGTATTTTCGGAGTTGTTTCGATTGATCGATTTTTGCACCGGTACAATCGGTTAGCCGATTGTTTTTCCACCTAGTGTTCACCACCGATTAATCGGCTGTTCAACTTGACCGACGATTGTTAGGTTTATCGATTGTCCGATAAAATCGGTGATGAATTCGTTACCTAAAGCCGCGTCCGCACTAGAGCTTAGCCTGATAGGAGGGGGGGGGAGGAATGATCTCCCCCAAGCCCGGAGTTTTTAGAGGGCCCGGAAATTACGAACTACAAATTTGTAACGTCTCGCACTTTCAACACGGAGAGTTATATGACGGGCCGATTCGAGTCGCCAACCTATAGCCGAGGCGTTTACCGGAACATATAGGATTTTTTTGTTTTTTTTTTAAGTATATACATATAGGAACAAGATAAAAAATACACAGATAAAAAAATTAGTAGAAAATTATATTATGTTGGTGCCAAGAAAGCTCTCTCGGGAGTAAATGAACTCGGACAAAATGAAAGACAAAACAATTAAGTAAGAATAAAAACCATATAAATATACCTCCCACCGGATCCTCTGGACGATTACAGGGAGTATATGGTGATAATATTAACAATAATATAATTCGAAAAAACAAGGATACCGGTCACGGTATGATGAAAGTAAATAATAAAAAATATGCCTTACCAGCCACACAATGTACATCTTTGATGCCGCCCGAAAGCGTGGCAACAAATCGGGGCACCACTCTTCCATGTTGTTGTGTGGAAAAGAAATATCGTCGCCCGCCGGCTTAATCAACAGCAAAGTTGTCGGGCGACGGAAACGGTGGGAACGAGAGATATCGATTTGTCACGTAATGATTTAAATTAATTGGCCGATATCTTCGTACGACGGTAGTGTGTGCCCGGACCATGGAAATAAGACAGAGGGGAGTGTGTGTGCGTTGTAGCAGGTGTGGAGTTTGATCGGTTAACTTGAACCTACGGGACAAGAATAGCTATCACACGAGCACTTAAATAATATAACGACCATAAATTATATTATAATGATGGTAAAATAGATCACCTAACGCTGATTGTCACAAATTATTAAAAATTAAACACTCGATTAATAATAAGAATTTAATGAACGCTGCGGAAAAAATTGGGAATAAATTAATTATTAACAACTATAGGTAATATGTCAAGTCACGAATCGTTCCGGAAATCCCGACTATTCCGATAATATACTTTTCAATTACAAACGATAAGACAGTTTAATTTTAATTTTAACGTAGCCCGTATGGCGTATAAACCATGTAATGATAATAACAGATGGACGCATTGTATCACGGTAAAATAAATGGTAAACGTGTATAAAATTTAAGGTCTTTAAATAAAAATAACACCGTATGAAATATTAGATAGGAAATTATGAAAAGATACCATTTGCTTTGAAATAATATTATTTAATAGTGCTTAGCGTTCGTTCAACGTGTTTTCAAGAATAAATAACTTTCATCGGTCCTGTGACAAGAGTTTCCGTATAAGCAATTCTTTGCTTAGAATCAGCGTTAGCAATGCAGATTAATTTTAAAATAGTCATTGAGTCATTTGCATCAGAAAAAGCAAGGAAAGCTAATTTGAAATGACTTTATATTATATTAAACATAAAATAAATTCAAATTTATTCAATACAATCAAAATATTTATATAATATAAATTAAATAATTTCCGTAAATAATTGATTTATAATATTTTTGAGTAATTTTTTTTAAATGATCCATTCCACGCCATTTATACACATACTATATTTTACTCGTAACAATTACCTGACAAATGTAACGATGGTCAGAAAAAAATAATGGTGCCATTTAGATATACCACCGGGCAACGGCGTATTTGAGTTGAATCCATGGGGGGGGGGGGAAGAAATTAATTTTTTTTCAATACAAACTTAAAAATAACTCACAGTTTATTACCTACAGCTCATACTACTGTTATAATTTTATATATTAAAAACATTTATGAAAACTAAAGTCAGTCCGTCTCACCGTTCATTTCGGCCGATTTCCTTCATTTTTTTTTTAAATTATAGGTATTTACACACAGATATGTCATCAATCATTGAAATTCACTCAACTCCCACCAATGGGATTCTTCCCTGTACATTTCTTATGGAACATATTCACTCAAGCAATTCGAATTCTCATAGCTCCTCTTCTAATCAATGGATCTTGATCGTTTCATTCTCAGAACACTCAGTGGATCAAGTTCTTCCTTTTGAGCCATTAACTTCTTAAATTCGTTGAGTTTGAAAAAAGTTATGTGTGCACAATCAACCTTATTTTCAATTTTTTTCAAATACTGCATTCTCATTGGCTCTTACCCAATGATATAACAACAAACGACTATCAAACAATACTAATATTATTACCTAATTATATTAAGTAATATTGTCTGGAAGGAAGCACTGCATAATGACTATGTAATAATTACACCCTCTCAAACATAGTCTATCCTAATGCTGCGGAACATATATTTTAATAAACACACTCTGTCATTTCTATATGTCTTTCAATTTTCTTTATTATACTCACTTATTGATTTGTAAAAATGTGTTTATGTATTGATTCGATAGTACCTATACTATTTATAATATAAATAAATAATCTATTGCGAATTTTCGCAATAAGTATATAATAACCAGGGCTCGGAAGTCCTAGCAAATGCATATTTTTTTTGGTTCCTCCTAGAACATCCAAAGTAAGATACAAATATGTTTCTCACTACTCGAATATCATACATAAAATTTAATTTTGCTATTTTTTGCTTATTTTCACATAATATTGGAAATAATCATATTTTGTTGATAATAATTGTATTTACTTGATTATATTTTTAAAAATATTTGAATTATTGGAAATAAATAGACCTCATTAAATATTATTTTATGCTTTCATCGACAATTTGATGTATTAATAGTTAGTGACGTCATTGTTATTCCCTTATTATATCATTGCATTAAATTATCAAACATTTTATCATCCAGGATAATTTCTAAGGTAAATAATCTAATAATAAGTACATTTTTACAAATATATTTAAGTAATTTAACATTTTTGTTAACAGTTTATTATTCAACCAGTCCAAACTGTGTCTATGAGCCCAAAAAATTGTAAAATTACATTTTTTTCTAATAAATTTAAAAATTTTGCATATTTTTTTATTTTTCATGCTATTTATAGCGCATATTTAAAAGCTAAAAAGTAACATTTTTAGTGCTACAACTTCTGAGTCCTGATAATATCATATTATAATGATAGACTATAATTTATATTCTTAATTATTTATACATTCTTTTTTTTAAATAAATCAATGTATTATATTCAAAAAAAAAATATGAGCCATGGGGGGCGAATGCTCCCTTTGCCCCCCCCTTTCAAATACGCCCTTGCCATGTATGATCTTGCTGTGTGTCTTGTGCACTCAGACGTTTTCACGCATTAGAAGTTAGTATGATACTGAGCAGTAAATATGACGATTATCACATCGCACAATGAACCCGAAAAATTCGGCTCCCGTTCGCTGTTTGTTACAAACGTTCGTTGCGTGCTTATCATACCATCTACACATAATACATTTGTAGCAGGGACGCCCGGATGGGTGGGGGGGCAGTGGGGGCCATTGCCCTCCCTGAGATTTTCGCGTCACTTACAAAATTGGAAGTTATTTTATATAAAGCTGATCTTGGGTATTCAGTGACTATTCGACAATCCTTGTATCTAATAAGTATCTAACATTTTTTTAATCAACAAATGATGATTCAATTAATTTATTTGCTTCAAACAAAAGGAGATTGTCATTACTTTTTGAATAAAATAATAAAATATGATGCGAATTCAATCAAATAAAGTTGTTTTTTGTTTAAACTTTATTATATTTTTTCTTATAAATATTAAAACTAATAACTAATAATGTAATTTTATATAAACTTAAATGAGTTTTGATTTTTAAAAAATTATTAATGATAGTAATACAAAATATGAGTAGATGAAATATGTAGCAGTAAATCTTCCTATAAGTATTTAGGTACTTACAATTTTTTTGCCCCCCCTGAGCTACATTTCTGTAGGCGTCCCTGATTTGTAGAACGCACAACATGAGCACACACACAGTCGGATTGTGCGTGCTCTAATGTAAACTAATCGCGAATATTCGAGTGCAGAATTTTTAAACGTATTATTTGAGTGATGGCATATCTTAATTGTTTGAAAAAAGAATTTGTTTCAAGGCGGCCGTTTTTTAAAGTCGTGTAGTTATGATATTTAAGATAAATATTTTTTTATAAATTATTATGACAAAATTTGTTACATTTTTGAACGCACGAATTACTCTCCTCCATTGAAAACTGAACCAATTTCGCCATTTTTTTTTTAAGTATCATTATTGACTTTACAGAATGATTATCTTAAAATGTCAACAGTAAAAAAGTTTAACGATTTTTATAACCTTTTATTTTCATTAATTGTAATAGATGGATCAGTTACTTAAATACTACATTTGAATAATTAATTATTGATACATAAAATAACACATAAGTTAACCTAACGGTTTATATAAATATATGTATGTAAAATATCATCAAACGATTAAACAAAATAATTCAATTTATATTAATGAGAAAATTATTACTATATTCTATAAATCAATCTATATTTATTATTTTTTGTCACTTAGTTTTTATTTTCATGGAAATATTTTTTAACGCGATTTTTTTTTTTAACATCAATTGATAAGCATTGTATATCGTACATTGGGTAATTTAAATATATATATATATATATATACATATACATAAAAGAAAATCCGTCACCACCTACTGCCCTCTATTATTATAGGTACATTTATATTATGGTGCGAACGTCAAACATATAAAAAAAGCAAACAAATGCTTCCGAATGAATTTAAATGTAAATTTGTCAATCATTCAGTCATTTATTTAACCGTTCACATTGTTCGAATTTATTCATTCGGCGACGCCAACAACGACCGACGAGTGACGCGCGCTAAATGTATTGATCGACCGCAGGACGAGCGCGGAACGATGGGCCACGGTAACACGCAGGTCACAGAGTAACGACAAATGTGCTGCGACATACCTACTTCAATTTAATGATTTTCTCATGGCCCCAACAACTCCATTCAACGCACTCAAATCGGTGACTGACGTGTTGTCGGTTATTAATTTAATGCACTGTGACTGTCGCTGTTACTGTGCGTGCAAAAACCTCGAGGGTGTATACTGTATTTAGGGCCATAGCCGTCAAATATTGCACTCGGGGTGAAATTTCAAAATGTATTTTAGTTTATAAAAAAACTCACAAAAAACTGTATATTTCTTATAAACGTAGTATAAATAATAAATTTTTCTTATACTTTAGTAAGCGTTTGTTAATTTTGTTTAAATCAATTACTTATCAAAATATAAATAAACATAACAATTAGTATAACAATCAAGTAGATTCATAGATATAATATAATATATTTATTAATATTAATTATAATTAACATTTATTAATTATATAAGTAAATATATAAATACATATTATTACTTTTACTTATAAGTAATAAGTTATATGTAACAATTAAATTGAAATTTTTTCATTTTTGCGCCCTCTTAGGAATTGAGCCCGGGGTGTAAGCTCCTTTCGCCCACCTCTTGCTACAGCCCTGGCTGTATTCTGTTACTACCGTTTCTGTTTGACTTTTGCTCCCATTACGTCTTTGTTCTTTAATAATAATGGCTTTGACCATTACTTTAAATCTCAGTTATGGAAATCAAATGTTTAGTTTACAAAAGTAAATATTTTTTGGTGTATGTTATAACTAGAGCTTGAATGTTTATGACTTGAACATATTTTTTCACACAATTAGAATTATACCCTAATATGATGTAAATTCGATTCCTGAAATCTCGATTGCAAACATGCAAACTTATTTTTCACAAATTTGCATTTTTGACATTTATAAGCATATTTCGATTGTTTCTAGGTTATGTAGCATATATTTTATAAAGTATTAAGTATAATATTAAAAATTGTTCATTTTATTATAAATTATCGATCATAGCCGTTAATTGTGTTATTTTCAGTATACAAAAACTTTTTGTCTGATCGTCGAAGATTCTTCAAGTTTAAAAATATGAGTAAAATTATTATTGTACAGCGTAATCTTGATACTTAAAATGCTTAATTTATGAAAATTTAACTTTAATAAATCGAAAAATTATTAATATTTTTTTTCGTATTTAATAGTTGTGTTATTTGTAATAAAGTAATTTTAAATACACATTCAAAAGACTATATAGATATTTTGAATTAATATTAACTATTTTTTTTGCATATATTTGCTGTAAAAATAGGTATATTTAAAAAATTTTATTGCATGTAATTGCATATTTTGAAATTATTTAATGTATATTTATATGAAATATTGGTCGTTAACATCCTACCTCTAGTTATAACATGTTTACCACTTTTTATGTTTTATTAAATTCATAAAATATTTTAAAAAATATCTGATGTGCCATTAAAAACACTTCGTTGTTACTGCATGTAAAAAGATGCTAAACTTAAAAAACATTTTAACAACATTGTATTATATGTATCATATGTTTTGTTATGACATAATCTTTAAAATATGTGAAGTAATATAGAAACTTAATAAAACAAAGTTTTAAATAAATGTACAGAAGAATTCGTTTATATCGATCTGTAAGAAACTTAAAGAATCAGATCATATCAGAACAAATATTTTGTATTATAAATTTATAATTATACAAACCAGATTGTATATTTATGAATAAAAAATAGTACGTCTTATATAAACAATATTAAATTGACCTAATTATATATATTTATAATTTTTTTGAAAAAAAAAAAATCAATAAAAGTACTTTATTTATTACTGGATCAATACGATTTTCGATTATGAAATCTAATTTATTGTTTTAAGCGAATAAATAAACTAATTTTGTTTTTAAAATAACATCGTTACATCCGATTTATCATTGTAATCGGTATTGTAATATCCGACCAAAATTACTGCACGTGAGATATAAAACCAACCGAATTCATGACTGGTAATCGTTTTATCCGGATTATTGTTATATACGGCATCATATTATAATAAGAGAATTTTAATATATTAAAAATGCCTAAAACATTATTTACTTAGCAGAAAGTGTAGTTGTGGAAGTAAATATAGAAAACCACTTTAAAAATTAAGTAAATTAACTAATAATTTATTTCTCTAAAATATCTGATTACTTCCTGTCAGGTAATGTACTAAATGTTTTACTTTGCAAATAATCTTATTTTCTGGTATAGACATTTGTTTTTTTATTTTTTTATTTAAAATAGCAAATTACTTAGTTTCTATATTATTTCACGTATATTACGGCTTAATATTATTAAGCGTTTGATGATGAATGGGAGGGTGTTAATCAGACTATCGATTCATTTAAATCAGATACGCAGGTCTATCTAATGCTGAATAACACGATACACTGGAATACAGTGGTTCGCTTTGCGGATGACGTAATGGCTGTCAAGGAGGAAGCTGAGCGTGAGAAACGGTACGACAAGGGGTAATTCTATTCAGGCGTGTGAATAGGACAGTGGTGAAGAGACGAACGGGGTTAACGTTCACTCCCTTCGGTCTCCGACTGAAGGGTCATGCAAAGGGGACATCCCTACTGCGACTCCACCAAAGGCCGATCAATATTTTTCTTTAATAAACCATAACTATCCATCATTCGATGTATTAATCTAAGGTGTTCTCATTTAGTGGGTGTATTGTCGATTAAAAAAAAAGGTTTAATATTACTTTTTAATTACTTTTTTTTAATATAACTCAGCATCTTCTTACACGAAGTATATTTGGTGGGATATAAATAAACACTAAAAATCTACTAGATTTTGTTGTATTACTAATAGAAATTAGAATAACAGTGACGATGCAAACAAGTAGCATGGAATATTCGGGCAATCAAATAATAATTCAATTTTGCAATATTTTTCTTCGATTTATTATGAATAATAATTATAAGAGTGTAATGCATTTCAAGTGTTTAACTCGTACAAATCAACACTATGAGAAATCAATTAAATTATCATAAATTATAATTGTCCGTTATTATCTATTTATTTGTACAAGATTTACTAGGATTGTATTATGATGTGTACTCGTACGACGCGGCGGTCGATAACGAAACTTCCGTCGCCGAACGTTTACTTCGACCATTACCAGACCGCGGGCACACAGCGGTGTAGTGGCAAACCGCTGACTCATCCGTTGCAGATGATGCATTGTGAATAGCCGTAACGACATCTGGCGAGTACGATTTTTGGTCTGGTTTGTTTCTAGTATCATCACGAACGGATTGTTATGACGAGTTTACACGTTTTACTTAAAACGTTCATTATGACTAGGGACTTAATGCCCTAAAAAATGTTTTAATTTTTAATTAAAAATTCAAAAAATTTGTAATTTGTTTATTATTAGTTTTCATAACTTATTATTTTCATTTTTCCTTTTTTTAAACACGTCATCAAACAAAACATACAAAATTTTAATTACATACAGTGTTGGGTAAATCGTAATCTGATTAATGATTAAAGATTGCGATTAAAAATTAATTATGTTTTTATGTATCGGTATTAATATTTTTCAGATTTGAATCTAATCATTAATAATTATTGTAAATGCGTTATTGAATAATTATTAGTAAACGATTATTATAAATGACACAAAATGGATATAATTACTAAATTACTGAAAACAATAATGTATTCTTGCTGAAACAAGTATTATGAACGTGTTCATAACTTGTTCACTTTTGATGAGTCAATCATAATGAACATTTTAACTGCCTTGTTGAAACCCCTTTAGTATTAGTATAATTTTACTCGTCTCACTCATGATCATATTTACTATAATGTAAGATAGGATTTTTAAAAACATTTTTTTTTTTTTTTTAATACAAATTTCATCGTATAAAATAAACATTAGCAAAATATATTTAAGATAAATACAGAAACCTATGGGATAAAAAATGTACTCATATCGTTTTTGTTTTGTTTGTGAAAATATAGAAGTAAGATGTAATTATTAATCTGTTTTGGACAACTCATGTGCTGGGACGGTGTATGACACGCTATTGTTGTCGAGGGGATACATTTTCATCTTGCTTAAGGCCTCTAAATGCTTAAATCGAGTCTTGTTCTCACGCCACATGGTATACCGTTAATACATACACAATTTTCGTACACCGACATTTTTTTAAATTTTTTTTTATAATTATCAGGTGAATTAAAAGCCAAACTAATGGGATCATCTTTATTATTTTTATTATTACTTTCTGCATGCATACCACCAGCAGCCCGTGAACCTCGTCGACTTGGAATCGCAAAGTGCTTATTTTTCTACAAATGCATTCATTTTTTTTTTTTTTTTTTTTTTATAAAACTTTATACAAATACATCGATATTGATTATATTCCCGGCATCCTATACTGAAAATGTGTAGGATGCTTTTTACAGCAATGAAACTGAACTAACACATGAGCAGCTGCTTTGGTTGTTTTGTATATTTAATGTCCTCACACACTGTCGCGGTGACGGTAGCGGTAGCCATATTAAAATCAATGAACTGAACACATTGCGGCGGTGGCGATTTTCATCCAGCATAAACATAAAATATTTATATGTTACATACAATAAGTGTATAGTTAATTAATTTATTTCTATGTAATAGAATATATTATTTGAAAAATTCATGATTTATCTATATTGTGCATTAGTACTATACCATGCACTTTTACTATTATACATATTATATTCATAATACATATATAATATATTGTATTGATTATTTTTATATGAATTATTATCAATTAAGTTAAATAATATATTATTATTTTTAACATTTCATTTAACATTTTACAATTTAACAACAACAACAATTTAACATTTTATTATAATATTTTATGCACCTACAGTACCTTCATTTTAAATACATTGTATCCACTTACAAGCATACAAAAACAAATTAGTTAGTTAATAATGAATAAATAAATAGTAATTTTTAATTTCGTATAATTATACGTATTTTTATGATCTTAGAGTGTAATGCTAAACGATTTAAAATAATCATCAACAATACAAATTTATTTGAAGTACTAACACTGGTTTTGGGGAAAAATGAAGAATGTCAATTGAAAATACCGCTGCGGGATGGTGGTGAAACCGAGCATGCGGCGGTTTTTATAAATATCGCGCGGCCATATTTTACCGCGTCCGAATTTCAGCTGCAGCGTGCAGCTGCCGACCCCCATTGTAATAGTTGTGTACAATTGTATTGCCACTGCGGCAGCGCGAGGGGACCTTTAAGGCGGGTACGCACGAGCGAGTAAAATCTGTAAAGCCGCGTCCACACTAGCGTAACAAAACGACCAACGGGTATAGCGTACATATTATTCTTACATAAAAATTCGCGTGTAGCTAACCAATAAATGACCATATAACTGAAATAACTCTTCTGAATAACTTCATAGTAGTTCAATCAATCGTTGAGTATAGATATATACTTATATATATAACGTTAAAAACTGATTATGAATAATAACAGTTTAATTGTGCGTATTGGTGAAAATGTTCGAAGACGTGTCCATACCTGTCGTAACATGTTCGCGGAACATCCTTTGATGTTAAGCCGAAATACCGACAGCTGACGAATCGCCGATTTGTTCGGTAGAATGTTTCAAGTTTCGCCCGTTCGTTACACACGAATCTTGTTCGCGAACACATGTTCGTCGTTTTGTTACGCTAGTGCGAACGCGGCTTAACGTTGCACGCGCGGCGCTCGTTCGTGTGAACGGTCCTTGGAACACGCCCCGTGTCCTGCAACGGCGCGGAGTGAACACCGGTTTATATCGGTTTTTTTCGACGGTAAACACAAAGGAATTGTTCGGCGCAGTATAACGTGTTTTAACTGACGTGGAAACGCGCACGAGGTTATGTACAAAAATGTTTGTGGCAAACTGCGCGTTATGATAGTGGGGATCGTAGTGGATTAAAACAAGGGCCCCTCTACTGGGAATGTTTAAAACTATCGTTTAATTTAACACCACACGCATTAAATATAATTTTATTGAGATCCATACATGGAGTTTATTGAAAATCATTACATATTTAGATAACCTGAAATATAATCTTGAACGCATATATTCCATGAAAAAAAAATGTAAAAAAAATGTTATAGGTACAATAATTTTGTATACAACCGAGACGAATATATTTTTTAGACGTACGAAACCTCTTTCGATTCACCACCCTCAGAACCCTTCCTAACAACATTATATAAGTGTATAATGTATACTTACTTGTATACCAATATTTTATTCATGTAACAACTTAAATGGTCAATTTTAGACCGTCTTAGTGTTTTTTTATTTTAATTAATCTAAAACATAAAGTCTATTAATTTATTTATTATGTTACTAATAAATTAATAAATCTGTAAATAAATCCTTATAATCATTAATCAATAAATCGGTTATTCAATTTAATCGAGTAATATACTTAATTATTAATTAATTAATCGTTGGGTTAATCGATAAAAATCGATTTTCCCAAGATGATAGTTAATTGTGTAATAGTAAAATAATCGCGCGACCCTACTCGTGAAAGAAGAAGCTTTGGTTTATACTCGTGCATTCTCGCACGTTCGTTGCTGTTGTTTCGTGTGCAGATTGTGTTTTTCGTCGTGTGTGAATGGGTCAAATTAATTAACATTAATGTTCTCGGAGTTGTACCGAAATGAACATGTTACATGGGATTAAACGGACTCTTATCTGGCCGCGGCTTCGTACCACTTTGTTTCCTCGTCTAAAATATCATAAATGATTCGTGTTTATAAATGTAAATTATATTATTGTCTTATTAATTGTTATTTTTGTACCTTTTTGTAAATTATTATCTCGTGTTGTGTTCATGCCGTCGTGGCGAACAAACCGGTTTTTTTTTTCGTTCATCGGTCGCTATTGTTGCACTGTATATTCCTTACGTTCGCTATTGCGGCAACACACTGTTTTTCTTTAAGGGGGCTGCAGACGATGTAAAAAATCACGTAAAACAGGTCATAAGCTAGACAAAACTGTGGGACTTGGGTTTGACGGATTTTAATTTTGAAAACAAATTAAAAATCTTGAACATCTTTACTAAAACTTGATCGAAGGAATTTTTATTATTACAAAAATTAACGGCGTACTTAAATACATAAAATACATAAATTTCTGTTTTTTTAAATTGTCAATATCTTATTATTTGATTACAATATAGAAAATTCCTTTGGTCAATCCCTAGCTAATATAGTGACTTAATTAAATCTGTTTTCAACATTTAAATTCATCAATCCCAAGTCTCCCAGTTTTGTCTAGATTTTTGGCGTTTTTGACATTTTATTAGAGTGGTGTAAATTTTCTTCGTGTTCATTAACCTAGTTAGGGCGTTCGAATATTTCTAAGAATTTTAGTACCAATCCATAACATAAATATTAAATACTACCCGCATTTCGAACGATTATCAGTCAATTAGAACTAATGACTACGGAAATGAAATAATAATGTATTGTAACAATTACAATCATTGCAAAGTATAAAATAGTCCGCGCATTTTCTTAGTGATAGTTGTCATGTCCAGCGTCTGCAAAAAGTTTTACGACGTTGATAAAGATTTCAGATTAGTCTCACACACACTAAAGTGCATTTACTTTCCACACACTAACAAGCCAACTTACTACGTCATGTTAAATTGCCTATGCTATTTTCCTTAAAATATGGTCGTCTGCAGCCCCCTTAAATTTATTATTAATTCTTTATTAATTATTATTATCGCCATTGTGACACTTCTCGTTTTCGACTGTTCGACCGAATAAAGTCGATCCAGTCAATCCAACAAATCTTTAGTTACCGATTACTAATAATAACGATAACATAATATCATGGATTATAAATTATAAATAGTTTTTACTATTGGGTATTATAAATTATAATACTAGAACGGTTCTAATCATGGCATTACCCAACCACGAGTCTAGGCTATTAGTTCGAGATCGTTTAATTATTCGTAGTTCACGTTTAGTGTTTTATTTTTTTTTTTTGCTATAAAAATTATAATTATACTATTATTGTACAGTGTACACAACATTTGTATAAATTAATTAAACATAAATATGTACATTAAAAAAAAGAAAAAATGAATACGTTATTTTCATATTTCATCAAAAAAACGTCGAATACAGACAAGGAACTTGAGGTATGTTCCTTCAATCAGTATTAGGCTAAGTCTATAAATAATAAAAAAAAATATATATATCTTTTACATAAAATGTTTTGTTGTATTTTATATTTTTATTTATATAATATATGGTAAAGTACTATTGGAGAGTGTGTGCAAAGCTCATCAAGAGTTTGGTCTGTTTCCTCAAACATTAATGGTGCTTAAGCCCCCCTAATGTTTTTGGGTGATTTGCGCCTATGATATAATGCTAAATACAATATATAGGTATATACTCGTATATAATATATAATATTACATAAGACTATACGATTATTACATTATATATTTAGTTTAACTTACTCCAAAAACTGCATAAGAACGTAACTATTACAATATAATATAAAGTTTATATTAATTATGTATGAACTGTGGACCCCAGAAAAAATTGAAAATACGCCACTACCTATAATATATATTATAAGGCTCGGGGCCTGTGTGCAATGGACAATTTGTACACCCGATTTTTACGGCACTGGTGTGATGCCGTCCAGGTCACCCAGAACTTCATCCACGTATAGTTATCAGTTCCAGTCACCGGTGTTGTCATCGTTCGCCTGTCTTATTTTCAATTTGTGAATTGAGTGTTTAACGTTAAGTATTTTGTATCCGACTGTATGTAAACCCTGTGCGTCATTGCACTGGACCGGACCGACCGGAGGGGCTGCCCCCAATAATTAACCTCTTTCTCCTTATTCCCTTTGTAAACTAAATTGTGTTCTTTTTCTTTCCTCGCCGCCGCAAGTTAACTTTCAAAAACCGTGAGTTAGCTTACCGGTCCTCCCATTCACGGGGCAACAGCGTTTGGTTGCCTACCCAAATTTTTTTACGGCATAGAATTCGGTGAAATCGAGGCGGACACTATTTCTCACAATAATTTTAGTTTTGGTCGCGTTACTATCGTGATTGGTCATTTTTGACCCATTCAACGTCCGTTATCGGTGTCGAACATTTAATTGAAAAGTGCAAATTTTATGATATCAGGTGGGACAGGGTCGCAACAATTTGCTGGTTCTAATAAAAACGATAAATGATATTGCTTGTATTAGAAAATAACTGTACACCCTTTCCATGCCCTCGGGTATTAATTAATAAGAATAATTATTATATAATCAATACAATCAGTATGAACGCAATTTGAAAACAATTGTTTTGTGTAGGTACTTCAAAAAACACTCGCTTTATTTATATCATAATAACTATTACTATGTGTATGAGAAATACATTTTCTATTCGTTGATTTAATCCAATTTATCTAAAAAACATACATTAATTAAATAAGTCGATGAAAATAATATAAATGAACTAATTAGTATAACAATCATTAATGCTATAGTTTATGAATACAATAAATATTATTAAATATGATAAAAACTTAACGTTGTATTCGATTTTCTCAGTTTTTTCCCCAACAGATTTTAAAACAAACTCACTTTAATTAAATAAGTTAATGAAGGTAATATTAACAGATCTAAGTTAACAATAATTTATACTATAGTTTGTGGATACAATAAATATTGATAAAATTAACTATAACCAAGCATTGCATTCAATTTTCTTGGTTGTTTTTTCAGTTGACAACAGTTGTAGTTATTTTTTAAGTACGCCAAAACAAGTAATACATTAGTAATGTTCATTGTTTTTAAAATACTTATTTTTGATAATCATTTATTTTATATAAATGACTGTTACTAGGGTTCAGGACTTGTTGTATTTGCATATTTTTTAATAACTGTAGAATAATCTGCATAAGATACACATTTGTTTTATAATATAACGGACTGAAATACAAAAATTTGAATTGCATATTTTCCATATTTGGCCATTTTTTAGGAAAAATTCATATTAGATAGATTTTTGAAATTTAATAATTATTAGTGCATATTTACTCATTTTTATGTTTTATATGAAGTAAATTTATTCTAAAAGTTAACATTTTTTTATAATTTTAAATTTTTTTTCAATATAGGAGAAAAGGACAAAGAAAATTAATTTAATCATACAGAGTAGTATTATAGTTTTAAATTTATAAAGTTATTGTCCTCCAAAAGTAACTAAACAAAAAAAAATTGTCTACATTTAAAATCTAATAAATCAAATTAAAAAAAAAAATGTTGCTATTAAAATTGCTATTATTGCTATTGTAAAAAAATTGAGTTGTATATTTCGTTTATTTTAAGTGCATATTTGCATGCATATTTCTTACAATTTGTGTGCAATAAGTCCCGAACCCTAACTATTACATACAATTATATAAAAATAATATAAAAATAATAATAATTAATACACAAAATATACTCAATATTTAAAAATAATCAATAGTTAAACCAAGAAATAATAATAAAATATTACAAACTTAAAATTTACTTTAAGTAACTACATTTTGAGCAAACTGAAACACAAAACTATTTAAGTTAAACGCATGCAGAGTATGTCATTAACAATTGCATAAGGTATTATGTATAACATAAGGTTTACTGGCAAGATAACATTAAAAAAAAAAATTTTAAAATCTCATAATTATATAAAATTTTTTTTTTTATTATTTTACAATCTAATTTTTCCGGCAAGAATATCGTTATATGCTTCAAGAGTTAAGTTTTCGTAAACGCCTTTGTTGTTACAGAAATATAATTGATCTTTAATCAATCTAACATCAAATCCTTCTTTTTGTAAGTCTAATTTTTTCAATTTATATGTTCCTGAAACAATAATATACAATAATATCATGATTTATTTTCTATTCGTAACAAAGTTTTTATTTACCGGTCATTTCTACTTCACTGATTTTCCTAATGAACAACGGTCGAGCGTAGTTTGGCAAAGCTTTCTGTAAGCCTTCTGATACAGCAGCTATATCTAAAGTATTGTCTTTATCCGCAATAGCTGCCATTCCAGCACGACCCTCAGAATTAGGAACCTGATTAAAAAGAAATAGAAAATTGAAAAGTAAATAACAACCACAATTAATTAGCAGATAAAAAATACCTCTACTCCGTAAACAACACAATCGCGATAACCAGCGATATTACTAACAACGCCTTCGACTTCAGCTGTAGAAACGTTTTCTCCTTTCCATCTGTGAAAATAAAAGTAAAGATTATATTGATAATAAATTAAAATAAAAACAGAAAAACGCATTGCGTTCAAAAAGCATGCAAAATATTATTTAAGTATGTTATTCATGAAGTTAATGAAGATAATACTATTTGAATAAAAAACTAGTAACATCGATTAGTTAGGCACGAGTTTAAATCGTGTACTATAATATTAAATAGTTCGAAGAAGTGATTAAAATCAGTCAGAACCATTCAAGCATACGATGGTGATAAGATAAATGCCAAACGACGGCAATAAGATGACAATATAACATGGTAATCCGATTGCTCGACGTCATATGTACAAGAACTCGCACATCCGACCAGCGAAATGTTGTTCGGAATCGCGTTCTTTCGAGGAATGGCGTACCTTATGTGTTGTCTTACCTAAACGTGTCTCCAGTTCTATCCTTAAAGTACAGGTAGCCCCATTCGTCGGATACCAGCAAGTCGCCGGACAAAAAGGCGGCGTCGCCTTTTTCAAACACGTCGTGCACGATTTTCTTCTCTGTATCCGTGCTATTGACGTATCCCAGGTACTGTCTGGATGGGTTGGTCGAAATGATCTTGCCCACTATCACTCCCGGTTCACCTGAAAATACGTGATCATTCATAATGTTTTTTTTTTCTTCTATATTAATTGGTTAGCAGTTTATTATAAAACCGGTCGTTGGCCGTACCTGGGTTGCATCGCATACAAAGTCCGTTAGCACCCCGAATCGGTTCGCAGGTCTCCGGATCGACGCGTATAATCGATATCGGATATATACTGGGCACCAGCCTGGACACGAACCCGATGGCTCCGAATGTGTTGTCTGTGTTGGCTGCGTAAGACGAAAATAAATTTTATAACAATAGTAATAATAATAACAGCGATAAAAACAGATATTATAACACAACATAGCAAATCTGCAACTATAAACAATACTCACGTCCTTTCAAAGTTAAGATAAATATGTGCTAAGACAGCTATGGAAATGCTTAAAGATCATAAACGGAAATTTAGTGAAATTAGTGGGGGGGGGGGGCTGAACATTATTTGCTTATTACACTTGTAGGTACCACTGTACGAAATTATTTATTTCAACAAGGCAATTTACAAAGTTTGATAATTTGACATACTCAACAATTTAACCAAAAAACAATTAGGAGCTTTATCTTAAACATTTTTAGAGTAGGTATTCTAAACAGAAATTATTAATTAATTAAATTAAACAACCAATGCGGGTATTATTACATATTATTAATATTACATTAATTACAATCGTTCCAAGTCATGACAATAAGTTTGAAAAATCTTACGAATTTGATTTAATTTTTATCACAGAATATTTTTTTTTAATTCAGTTATTAAAAATGCATTTTACAATTATAATAATTATTGTATTTTTAGTCACTTAACAATTTTTAGGGCTAAGGGGGCTAAGACCTGTACTTTACATTTCTGGGGGGGCTTAGTCCCCTCAAGTCTCCCCTCGATTTCTACCTATGTTAATGATGGTAAATATAGATATAGCTCACCGATGTTGGCGTTTCCTTCCGTCGAGCCGTAGAACTCAGCGACTCGTGGTACATTGAATCTGGTTATGAAATCCTTCCATATCTGAGCTTTCAAACCATTGCCGAATATGATCCTCAACTTGTGATTTGTGTCTTCGGCTTTGGGCGGGGTAGCTAGTATGTACCGACACATTTCACCAATGTATTGAGCTGCCTATATCCATACACATGTATATATCAATATAAAGGGTAAAACACGCATTATTAAATAATAATAATAATAATAATAATTCTGAATTGTAATTCAGTGCTCAGAAAATTCCTTTTAAAATGTAACGTTTTTATTTGTCTAATAGGAAAGTCTAGCTTAAACATAACGTGTTTATGTATTTTATTCTATATATCCGATTGAGAAATGAAACAAGTTAATTTTCTTTTTCCATTACAGTATATATATACAGTACTATATATTTTTGAACGACCGATCAAATATAGCGATTTAAAAAGAAAATTACAAATTTTTCTTGAATTCGTTGTCTAAAGAAGCAGTAATCCATACAAGTCAAGACAACCAAAATGTTTCATTTTCTGTGTTACAATATTATGGCAGTTTTATCTATTTCTATAATATAAAACACATAAATGCATTTATTTTGATCGAAAGCTGGCACACATTTATATACGGTATATAGTTTATTTATGAATCAAATAAGAATATTGTTACAGCTTGATTATTTTAGTATAGAATTTCGTTACCTAAATTATATTGTGTATGAACTCATTATTTCCAAGCACTAATAAAATTAAAACTACAAAAGAGAATAATGAATAAGAGAAGGAAAAAAGGAAAGTGCATAAAGACATGGAGTATGACAAAACGGCGTGATTATAGTAACTTACGGTGCAATTGTGCTTGGAAATATCTTGGAAATATCCGGAAGCAGAAAACTTTTTACGTATGACTGTGGAACATCCGTATAACAGCGATTGACCAATGCACATAATACCGGCAGCGGTGTGATAAAGCGGCAGTGGTGTGTAAAACCGATCAGAATATTTGAGACCCACCTGATACGCAAAAGCACCAGCAATGAAAATGTATCTAAAAACATACACAAAAACAAAATGTGATTCGAAAAACGCCAAAAATTGGTTATTGTTAAATTATTTATCGCTGTATCCAATGCAGGTAACTTCAAAAATAAATTTTGTTTCGACGAACATTTCTAATGATTATTATTGTAGTATATTTTTTTTTAACGATAATTATAATACAAAATAATGAAATAAAATTAATTAGTCTGAAAGTGTATATACATTTTTCTTATAAATTGTCAATTACGTTTTTCCATATATATTGGGTTTTGATATTTTGATGTAAAAGCGATATGAAATATAACTAATTTTAATCATCAATCACCTCCTATCAGCGAAATTTTAACATGACATGAGAGACTGAAATTATTGCAAATAGTCTCGTCAGCCATACTCTGTATGCATAAGCTAATGAAGTTACAATACAAATACACTAACGATTTCAAAAAATTGTCATTTTGTTCCTTATAATTCTTATTGAGGTAATTGGAAAGTTACGTGAACATAAACGCCGTGATCGTGGTAAAAACCACAATGTATAATATATATATATATATATATGTTACCAGCAATATGGATAATTCAGCTATTTTGCAAAATGCCTAGGCATTATATAAATTGCCAACCTATTTTAGGCAATGTAAATAAAACATATGATTTTCATTATTATCTTACATAATACATTATACATATTTTATAAAATACCTTGGCATTATGCAAAATGCTAATTTTTTTTAGGCAAAGTACAAAACATTTTATTATATGTTATATTACATTAAGATTCTTATAATTATTATACATTATTATTCATATTATAGACAAAATTTAATTTTTATCTATTATTATATTATTACTATTATATAAATATTTTACTTAAACTACTATTTACTTATTATAACATGTTGTAGAAAAGTGACATTTTAAAATGCATAAAATGTTATTTTTAAGGCAAATACACTTTTTACTTTGATACTTGGACTTACAAACACATTTTAAAAATCCTTAGCCAATTTTTGTGGATTGAATTTTTATCAACTCATTATACTATTCATCAAAGAAAAAACTAGTATAAGTGGCCAAATTAAAAAAAAAAAATGTTGTAGTTTGTCATAAAAATTTGACTTCATATAAATCGTTTGCATAGTTGTAACACCAATACGAGACACGAAAATGACGAGAAAATTACGATATTGTAATAAAATTATTAGTACGTTCAATATTGTATCTCAAAATTATTATTATAGTAGTAAAAGAATATTAATCTTTATCGCGTTAAATCGTGAATGCACATTTATGATAAACGATAAGTAAAGTCGTTGGTAATAGGCGATGCCCAATTTTGTTTGTTTTCTTCATATTGCCTACTCCACGATAGCAAAGCTCGTATTATGTATATTGCCGAGTGATTTTTGGCATTTTATATAATGCCTAGGCATTTTGCAAAATACTGGAGTATCCATATTGTCGATAATATATATATCATGAATTCTGATCAATATCTTAGCTACCTGACGTTGGTGATGATGGCGGCTTTCGGTAAGCCTGTGGTGCCGGATGTGTAAATGTACATCAGTTTGTCATTGTAACCGGGTTTTTCTGACATTCTGGGCAGGGACGCTGGCGATATATCAATTAAGTTGTTTAAATAAGAGCCGTCTCTGGTGGGCGTAGGTGTGCTCGACCACTTGAACAGTTTGATGTCTTGTGTCAGTTGAGATTGAATCCCTTCGATCTCTAAAGAAAAAATTCTCATTATAGTTACGTGTAATGCCGGTTGTGTGTATCCTTTCACGAATAAAATTAAAATATATTTTAAACGTCCTTTCCTTTCCATAAATTTGTCATTAAAGAAACGGTTATCATAGTCATGAGACAAATGAATAAGGACTTTTGTCATTGTCGTTTGACCGTTAATTGTTCCGGTGACTTTACAACCGGTAGGAATGAGAGAATGAGAGAAGAATAAAAAATGAAAGTACAAGCTACATTTTATTGGAAAAAAATAAAAAAAAGAGATAAATAAATCGCACATCATAGACTCTGAAAAAAATGTGTACGAGTTATAGGTCCATCGCATATGCAACTCGAAATCAGTTTCCATCCGCCCTCTTAATAGCACAAATAGAAATGTCTTTATTAAACTACATAACGAAAATTTATCATAACGCACAGAAATAGTTTATTCTGCGTTTTTTGGATTCAAAAAATAAAATATAATTAATAAACACATATTTTAAATATATTTATAAATAATACGAATTATACGTTATCAATCCGATTTACCGATTCGACTTGTTTGTATTGTATGAAAATTGTTATTACACTTTGCAAATAATTTTAAATCTGTTATAATATGCTCATATATATTTCTTATGCTACTAAAAGAAATTCTCACCCGATGACAATTCACATCCATAGATCAGACAACAACAATGAGCCACATTTATAGAATGAACTAGTGACTTCTGCTTCAGGTTATAGTTGATCAGTGCGGTAACGATGCCTACTTTGGACAAACCCAGCCAAATTGCCACGAACTCTGGTCGGTTTTCCATTAGAAGTCCGACCACGTCGCCTTTTCTGAAACCGTGCTCGTACATGGAATAAGCCACCTTGTTGCTGTATTCTTCGACCTGGTTTAACACGGTTTTTTTTTGCATTAGTACCGATATTGTACATACATCATTTTATATTTTATCCTAACATGTAAAATACAAACTTCTCGATCATTACGTGAATCATAGTATAGTTATTAATATTAAACACCCATCAACGATGTAATTCATATTCGAATAATAAAAATAAAAATATAATACACAACTATTATTGGTAATTAACATACATTACAATTTTCTAACAACCATTAAGCCATATTAATATATACCAGTATTAATTGAGAATAATAATTAAATGTATAAGTATAATTTAAACCGTCAAACATTCACTCACTGGAAACGTTTCAGAACAATTGGTCTACAACTAATTATTGAATGTCCTTGGTATGCCTTTAATACTAACTTATAAAATGATTTACATTCAAAAAATTAACCCATCAATATTATAATGGATTCCACACAAAATTCTCACACCACACAAATCCACATACCTCTCAAATGTTTCCCCAAACAATTCTAGAAACCTCTATTAAAAAGTTAAAAATAAATTGGTCAAGAAATGCTTTAATGTAATTGATATAAATCATCAGTTCCAAAAAAAAAAAGTTAATATAAATAAAAATCAAAAGTCAAAATATAATAAATATCAGAAGTGCAATTAATGGGTTATCACCTCTCTTACCTCTTGATCTATTTATTATTTATTACTTGTTTTGTCATCAAATTTACTTATTGTGCAAACTTTTAAGTATAGATTGAAAATATTCTTTTAAACTAAACTTAAAATTTGAATCACTGTCATCACTTGTACCACAAATACCAAATATAAAATTTTTTTTTATGTATGATTTATTCTTTTTCTTTTTTTCATTTTCTCTTTCATATTATGAATTTTGATTAATTTGTTTTTTTTAATATTGTTAATAATGGACATAGCATTTAAGACACTTGAATTTATTTATTTACTACTACTGATTTTTTTTTTAGTGTGATCATACTTATAGGTATATTGATCATCGTTTATTTCACATACAATTTTATAGAATGCATAGTAATTCAAAAAAACAGAAATAAAAAATTAAATGTCTCATTAGTACAGTATGTTTAGAATATTTAATAAATAAAAGAAAAATATAGTTAAAAATATTTATCTGTAATCTGATAATATCAATTTCAATAATATGGGAAAACGCGAGTTGAGTCCAAGCTATTTGATCGCTTAAAATAAACACGAGTTGGGTCCGCGATGTTATTCGATAAGACTCGAATTGAGTCCTTAGTAATTTCCGGCTATAAGAGTAGTCTTAATAATAATCGGTAATATTTTATCTTACAATCTTATAATCATATTGTAACTTGTCAGTATACCGGCACGTGTCAAGGCTAAAAGTCCATATAATAAAATATAAAATATAAAAAGTAAGCCTGTTTTTGTTGTTGTTATATTACATATAAAAAATAAATTATAGATTTCATGTCAAGCGAAAAAGGTAAAAAAATTATCATTAAAGATGGATTAAAATTTCGCTTCCACAAAATGTTGCGGAATGATGTACAACGTTGGAAGTGTTATCTTAATACCTGTAAGTGTTTTTTGAAACTATCTTGCACTTTAGACATAATAGAGAAATGTAACGTACATAATCACCAAAAATGTGATGAGAAGATTCTGAATAGACAAAAGTTAAGTAGCTCGGTTAAAAGAAAAGCACAAGATGATATTTTTACACGTCCTTCAAAGATCATTAGATCTGAGTTGAAAAACAGCGATATACTTTCGATAGACACTAATGATTTGAAATTAATAAAAAACAACATCTAGGCTATAACTAATAAGCTAGAATATACTGGGACCCAACTCATGTACTCCATAAAATACGTCCGGACTCAATTCATGCTGTTTTTGAAATCTGGGACCCAACTCGAGTGTGTCCAATAATATATTGTAATACTTTCTACTGGAAAATAATATGTTAATTGAATATTTTTGTATTTTCAATCATAATTGGAAAATTTCGTTATACGCCAAAAATAAACGTTGTTTTTATTTAATATACCTAGAGCAATATAGATTTCATGTAACAATCATTTATCTTTCACGTTCAAATTATTTTACTAGTTTGATGACGAATCAAACACAAAAACTTAAGAATTGTAAAGTTTAAGAATATGCTTATATCATTTTATTATAATGAAATTTAGTTAGAACAATACGATCATGTAGTATAAGTTTAAGATTATTAAAATAAAATATAAACTACAAAATTATATTGTTTTTTCCAAATTATAACATATACATGCCTTTAATTATAATTTATAAACATTAATATAACAGGAACTATAAAATATTTTTACTTATACGAGATAATTAGCAACTAATGACTAGTCTAGTTTTTGTATCAGATCTATTATAGTATGATTTTAAAATTAATTAATTAATATTTATTGTTGTAGTTTTGACATAAGCTATGTAAGAACTAACACTAAATACAAATAATTATCAACAAATAATTTATTGACATCAAAAGACAAATTAATAATATAATGTCGACATTTGTATAATACGAGAAACTGCCGTGTGTGTGTGTGCAGGGATTAAAATTGTGTGCAGTACAACACACTTTGTGTAATACGAAATGTTAAGTGTGTACTACGAAATTAATAAATGTGTTGTGGTTCTATTCTCTAAATTATAATATTTGTTTTTAATTTTACATTTTTTTATTTAATTATTTTACATATTTTTAAAATTCCAAGATGACTTAACAGCAAAATCTAAAATTTTAATTTTAATTAAACCAACTATTTTAACTATGTTACTCATTACTGTTAACATTTGAAAAGGGAATTTGACAAAATTAAATTAAACAATTTAAATTTAATCTCACTATAATATTTATTTTCCAGAGATAAATTGTAAAAATATGTATGTATGATCATTATATTGATTAAAAATCAAATATTGGGTCATTATAAAAATAGATAAATTAAAATGTTATTGTCTTTTACGGAATCACGTTGTAGGTTGTTTGATTTCATGATCATCACCCGACTATATCGAATACAAGAGTGAATAAATACTTGGACATCATAAAATGTATTCCATCAAAACATTAAATATATAATTATTTACAAACCTGTAACGCAGTCCATTCTTTATCCTCGTATATGAACAGCACTTTGTGTGGAGTATTCTTTACAACTGTGTTTTTGAACACATCTGCAACGGTCCAATTTTTCCTACCCAATTTTTTAGCCGTGTATAAAAAGTAAAAATAACGAAACAATGCTCTGAAAGTAAAAGATTTTAATTAATAAACTAATATAAGTTTTTATTAAAATGTAATACATAAAGTCACATGTTTTTTAAATTAGAGCTTTGAGATACTAACCATGTAATTAATAACTAAATTAAGAAGGTCAACTCGCGAGTTTTAAGCGAGAAGAATACTATAATGATAAACAATGGAAATTAAGAGTTTTTGGGGAAATCATAATATATTATTAGAATCCATCACAATATAAACACGACACAACACTGAAATTATGAGTCAGTAGGACGTATCATTATTTTATTGATTTCACACTCAATACATATATAACTGTACGTTGAAACCACTTTATGATTCATTTTCTAAGACATAACATAATTAACGTAATTAATTTATATTAAATGTTATGTATAATAGACAAAGGGGTTTTTTTTCATATGAATGTACATACAGAATAATAAAAAAACTCTAGGTGATTACATATCATACTACTTAAAATTAGTAACTATAACTATATTATATATATTCATGACATTTTTTATAGTCAAAGATATAGTTTTAGTTCGGTACAAAATCAATACATATTATTTATTATACAAATGAAACGAAGCGTTTACATTGCCTACGCAATATGACACCTTGTTTCAGACTTCTACATTAAATATTGAATATTATTTCATAGAAATATGGAAATTATTACGGTTAGATTTAATTATAATATTTGACAGTTTTATATCAGATAAATATTTTCCACAAATAAAAATAATCGGAGACTGTATAAATCTGGGTTTCGAATATTTGTTTATTTGTACATAGTTCTGTATGTTAAAGTATCGAAAAAACATTGAAAACGAACCCATTTATAAAAATTATATTATCTAAAATGTAGGTCATAATTACATCTATTGTGAGTGATAGCCCATAAGAAAACTATGTAATACAAGTTGTGCGAAAACGGGTTTAATTACAAGGCGGACGACAGTGTAGCGTTTTTACATTAGTACAGTAAACAACGAAACTCTACTGAATCAAAATTGAACTTTATTCAGTAGATATATAAATATTTTAATTTATTATGTAAAAAATAAAATTACTGATTGCCGTTTACAATTTTGAAGTAAAAATGTTATAGGCATATACTAAGATTCATTATGTTTTAGTCAATTGTTTTCGCGCCGGTACGATTGATTATAATTGTATAATTAAAGTTAATATTTAATTTATTTAACGTGGTAAAACCTATTAAATTATAAACTAACTGTATAACAAGAACAGAAAATACCAACTAAATCTAAAGTTCATGATCGACGGTATTAAATTTCATAAGCGATAATTTTTTAAGTTAGAGAGTTAATGGAATGCAGCTAATTAAAGAAAAAGGCGAATTAGGATTTTTTCTACATTGGATAATTATTAGCACTAATACTGCTAAAACTAAATTGCAATTAATTTCAAAAATAATACCTGAGGAGGTATAAATAAACTTCATTTCAAAACTTATTGATGTATACGCTCCTCTTGTGAAAAATAAACACATAAAAAATATATAAAAATATAAACAAAAGACTGTAGTTGATTATTTAGGTGGATTTTAAAAAGTTTTTACTTTTAAGTATGATTAGAATTATGTACACGTGTGTATTTATTTGTTAGTTATATTCCATAACTTAAAATAAACCATACTAACTCTACTTAAAAAAACAGTAAGACATATATGAGTTCAAAAGAATACCATTTGATTTTACAAAATTGAATGTCAATATCAGATGTCTCGATTTGAACTAATTACATAATAGTAAATTATTTTATTTAGTTTTACTATTTTTTACACACTTTAAAAGTTTCATCCGAAGTACAGTATTTTATATTCTGTATATTATTTTTATTTATTTTATTTCATTAAACTTGGTTTAACCGTTAATTTCGATAGTTAATGATTTATAACGAAAAGATAAAATTAACATAACAACGTGACAAAAATAATAACAAAATTAATAAAATAATAAAATATATTTTTAACATTGAGGAGATTTTCAAAAAATTAGGTTAGTTTAATCAATAAAAGTTAGGTTGGATATACTATTTTTTATTATTGTTTTATATGAAAAAACGTATATTATAAATAAAAGTATAACCGTATTCTAATGCTATCGGTAATTTCTAAACGTATTCAAAAGTATATTTAAGTGAAACGAAAAGAATCAGTAACATTAATGCATAATTTAGTAAAAAAAATTAATCATGGACACTTATCTAAATGAATTTTATTTTGATTATTGACTATATGTTTGTGTAGAAACAGTTAAAATATTATAGCGTTTAAATATAATAGAATAACAGTTAGGTCAGGGAAAGTTATAAATTGTTACTATAATCAGCAATAGGCAAAATTATGATCAAAAATATGCTAAAATATCAAGTGATATTGAAACCACTATATGATGACCTCATAGATCGAGAATAAAAGAAATTATTTAATGATAAAATTATATTGTTTCCCAAATAATGAAATCAAAATTAATTATTTTAATTTATAATATAAATATATATATATATAATATATATATATATATATATATATTATATATAGATATTATCTATTTAAACACAAAAGTCGTCAACTGATGACAAAATAATAATACCAAGAGTACTTAAATGTTAAGTAAAAATATTTTATGTATAAAAATGATAAAAGCATAATCGTTATGTTTTATTTTTAAGAAATTGTATTGTAATAAAAAAAAAAAAAAAAATACCTGAAAGAGACAACTTTTCAAAATTACAATCAACAAAAGTTTTTCGGAGAACCTCTATGTTCTGTTATGAACAATTACAAATAGAATTACGTCATGGTTGGAAAATGTTTGAATAGAAACTACAACATTACAGAAATTTGAGTAAAGTTTAGTTTGTATTTTATAAAGTCCATAGAATTTAAGTATTATAAAATGCCGATGAGTTATTAGAATTTCTCTATCAGTTAACGAAGCATGAGTATTGGGTAAATACAAAACAATTGAGAATGTATACTTATATGTATACGTGTATGCTGATTTTTAAAGGATAATTTTTATTCGTGTTTAAAGTAGAAATACTAATAAATGTTCAGAGTACATATTTGAATACTTTTCAAACAATGTAAACAAAATATTTCAGATATCCATTTTTAAATGTTTTACAAATCTAAAGAAAATATAAAGTAAATACTATTACCAATTTAAGTCATCGTTTTATAGTAGGTACTTGAACTTATTAATTTATTGTTATGGAAAATAAGATTGATTTTATAAAATATGAAAACGGTCTATGAGAACATATGAGTTTTAAAATTTAAATATTTATAAATTATGAGATTTAAGAAAATATTCTACTCATTTTTATCAATATCAAATTATGTGAACTATTAAAAAGTTTTAGCAAATATTCAGTGTTATTTTTACTAGTAAAATAATTGATTTAAAATTAATGCTAGTATTTAACTATAAATCTAAATTTTAAATTCTAAACTACGTGAAGGAATTAAAATCGTAAAAAAGACAGATTTATTTATTATTGATTCTATTTTAGAAATACAAACTCAAAGAGAGAACTCAATGCAGTTATTTTTGAGTTGAGTTTTAGTTTCATAATACAATTTTTTTCTAAATATATCATTTGACGACTAATATTTTTAAATAAAAAGTTTTCTAAAAAAAAAAATAGAAATATAATTACTCTTCTTTTTATGCGTATTATTGGCGTTATTGATTTTCAATGTTAATTGTTTACAATTAAAATAAAACTTATTTTACACTTGGGCGTCTATGTAGGCCGGAGAATCGTTCACAAGTATATTTGAGATTTATTTGAAATGTTTTAGTTTAATTAATAGTTGATAACCAATATACATTTGTAAAACGGTTGTCGTAATTTGTTATGCCGATTAGCATATTTACGAATGCTAATTGAATTGTTCTTCAGTCAGGCAGGGTTCGGAATCCTGTTTACACAAATCAAAGCAGTGAAAAATGGTTGATGTTATTAGTTAAAATGTATTTAATATAAGGCTTCCAAATCGTATCTGAGTTTACTACTATGATGCTTAATTCAAAAAGCATAGTCTTAACTACGAAGATGATAAATACGAATACGAAGGACTAGTTACTTAAAAACTGAATGTTTTTTTTTTTTAATGAGAATGGTAGATCAGTATTTTACAATCAACCTTTTCAAAGTTAGAAATTTCTAATATTTTGAAAAAGTGTAGATTTTACAAAAAAAAAAAAAATAATAATACAAAAATATACTATTAAAAGCTTTGCTTACTTATAGTTATTTCAAATCTTGTATTTTTATAATATTATAAAATCACTTATTTTTTAGTAAAATTTTAAACCTATCACATAAAAACTTGAAAATACGCCACTAACTTGTTATTATGAGTAATTAAAAATATTGTGATAAAATGCATCATACGCATAAAATAATAATAAATATTTTAATAGACCACTTACAATACTTGAGCGTCAAAAAAATAATTTGCAATCATATGGTTTAACATATCCAAGAATATAATGGAATATGAAACAGAAAAATATAATCTAATTTTTACGTTATATAAGGTATGTCTATATTTAAGCTATTTATATCATACATTCAACAATCGACTTATTTTTGTAAGACAGGCAAACCGATTTCAATGTTAAACTCGATTATGATAGCCAAGTAAGCAAGTAAACGCTGTATGAAAATCAACAAGGTCATTCTAATTCATAATGAATTCGTAAATACATTTTGATATTACAATTTACATCATTAACCGCTCAGAACACGTTTCTCTCAGCAATATTTTTATAACACTTTTTCAATATATATATATATATATGTGCTTAAAAATAATTTTTACTACGGAGAATAAATTCGTTACATATCCGATTTTAACGCATTATATTCAAATTCTACACGAACAATTATAATGTAACTACATATTTGTTGTACTAATTCCAACTCAATGACTATGTATATCAATATATCGTTACATTTGTTTTAAAAAATAATAATTGTACTCGGTACTTTATTGTTATTATACTCGTATTTCTTTTCGAAAAATTAATTCGGTTAACTAAGAATTCAAATGAAAACATTAAACTAGGATATTTTTGAAAAAAATATGGTTTTATATTGATATAATTGATCCTTCGATGGTTAATTAAAATTCACTTGACATGTTACTGTCACACAATAGATTACCCAAAGAATTATAGAAACACGATGTATTTCTTTGAATAATTTTTCAATGTTGGTTCAGAGTTTAGATGAATTTGTTGATTATTCGTCTAAAACTTAGAACGTTTTGTATACATGTTTAAAGGCAGCATTATCTAAATGATTCAAATTAATAGTAATATATTGTATATTAATACAATTTTTTAACGTTATATACTACCACATAGACATACGATACGCTACAATTGTTTATTTGTTCTATTATTATTTTTGTTAAACGTATTGTCAAACGTGTGTACGTCCTTGTGTACTTAAACATTGGTAACATAATATGGTATATGGTATATTGTACATAATATACTAATATTTTTAGTTAAAATAATAATTTTTCATAAAATAATCAACGATAATTTATTAACAAGTAATAATAGCACATATTTCCCACATTATAAATTCTAAACTTGAATTATTTCATAAACAAGATCTTGAATCGAAATAATGAATAAAATGTACAAAAAACCTGTATGTTCTATTATTTTATGTGAAACTACAGAAAAACTTCTATCGTCCAGTTTTTAAAACTTGTTGGATATATTTAAAAGTCAACGTGTACATGGCCTCAAATATATAGTTTATCATGTACACCGGTTAGACGTAAGATTGTATATAATAAGGATATATATTTCATTAATAATACATTACGCACATAGTAACTAATATTATGTTAGGATAAAAAAGAGTAGTTACCAAACAAGCACGGGAGTTTACCAATTGCGCTCTAAACATTTTACAATACCCAAGGAAAAATTATAAGTTAGTTATAATTATATAATAAATTATTACGCAACCGATTTTTATTCGATTATAAATTATTGTCAATTAATCAAAATTAAGTTATAATTATAAATATAATAAAAATAAATAATACACTAACCGATTTTTTTTTGCGACTATTTAGTTGGATTTATTTTTTAAATAAATCCAAATTTAAAGTTATACCAGTTACCGAACGTTATAGTTCATATTTAAACTTTTTTACAATAATAAATCAACTTTATTAACAACATTTTTATATCTGAAAGTAGGCAAATTTGAATAACGCAATTGGTATATTGACGGTAAAATATATGGAGCGCAACTGGTACAATGACCCTAAACAAAAACTTTTTATATGCGAAATTGGACCATGCCTACAAGCACAACTATAATTAGTTATTTATACGAACATCGATGGAATCATTGATAATTATTAACAGATGGGCAATAATAATCAATATTAAGTAAAAATGGATCATATTTTTACATATAACGAAAAAAATTATCCCACTGCAGTGTAATTTTGATAACGAGACGGCTTTGTTAACACCGTATTACCGCATTGTAATAATTTAAAATCAAAATTACAAAGCAGTTTTTAACCGTTTTTCAGCTCTACTACGACGATGACTGAAAACAATCGGTTCAAGGTTTCAGTAGGTACAGCGTGGGGGAGGGGAAATCGTATTGAAAACTAACATCGCAAATACATTTTCAAAAATAGTAATTCAAGCACATTAACACTATCGTTTGAAAATTATCTTGCAAAGTGATTATATGTGCTACTTAACAGAATGTGCATGAAATGTATTATAGTTCAACGGATATTCGATACATGATAAAATTACATCAAGTGCTGAACCGCCGCGTAAATCATTAAAATACGATCGAAATTTACCTTTATTACGTGGTCTGTAACATATTTATAAACGAATTAAAAATATTCAATAACGATTTTGCAGAAGGAAAAAAGAACCTTGATCATTGCGACAATGTAACGATGACACATTGGTTTTTTTTGTAATTTTTCCGAGGCTAATGGTATCCTACGTCCATCGGTGAAATAATAGTAATTATAATAATACAATAAGAATGATATTGAAGTACGCGCGTGCGTGTTACCTGAGCGAAAACGCGACTCTACACAGTTTATTCGTTCTAAACGCATTAGGAGAGAGAGAAAAAAAAACAATTTGTTGTTATAATTGCCGTCGGTCCGCCGCCGTCAGGAATGTGTTAGTACAAAGACAAACAGTCGCGCACCATCGACAACTATAAAGCGTTTCCTGTACGGTTTTTATCAGCCTACGAAAATCGAGGCAAAAGAAGAAAAAAACCATATTAATTGTTGTACAGCTGATCGCGATAAGTTGCAGAAATCCACATTAACAATAATAAAATAGTAATATGTGAGAAACAACATATGATGTTTTGTGTGAAAACCTGTTATTTGTTTCATTACGAGAACCGTGTTCGGCATTGAACATTATTTTATTAGCGAAATCTAATAGTAGAAAGGACGTTGTTGCTATCCGAAAAGTTGATGTTTTGAAATGGTCATGGTAAAAAATATCGTGAGCGATACACAAAAAATAGTTTTCGAATCTTCTCGACATTTATATGAACTATGGTGGGAAAAACGTGTCGTCGCGGGAGGTACCGGAGAACCGAAAACAGCTCGGTAGGAGAGAAGAGTCGGCCGCGATCTTCCTCCAGGGGCAAAATGTTTTTGATTTGGGTATAACCTTTGTGAATACAACACCTGAATACAGGACAACGATCAGTATTTCCACGTGTCTTAGCGAAAATCACAGGTACACTGACGGCGATCGTTCGTGGGGAAGTTAACTTTCTGTTCCGCAGGTCAAAATAAGATAATAGTAATTGCACTGTGAACGAGTATGTTGAAATCAAAAACAGTTACGAAATCGAGGTTGAATATTAAACTGATAGCAATGTTTTATGAACTACTGTTTTCTTCGTCGATCGTGAAAAGTGAAAACAAAAGGTGGAACGGTCCGGTTCACTCGGACCGTGGCAGGACGTACGATGCGCGCGATAGGAGGACGGTAACGATAATGTTAGGTATCACGCGCTATTACCACGGTTCAGAACGATATGTGCGCGCGTTGCCACACAACCGTGGTCGTTCAATTGTTACAAGTGGTAATAATATACCGTAGTGTCACTCACTTGAGGTCTCTGGGAGCCGTGCGGTACACCAGGTAGATGAATTTATATCCGCCGCTGGCGATGTAGGCGATCGACACGACCGCGACGACTTGCAACAGGAACGGTAAGCCCATCGTGTACCATATGAACGCACTGATGGCAGTGAACAACGTCGCGACACCGAACACTTTCACTGCGGTACACACCACTCGGCGGGCCAGGCACACGCGGCGGTCGTCCTCTATCGTTTTGCCGTCGCCACCGCCGCCGCCGCCGCCGCTGCCACCACCGCTACTTTTGGTACTGTTACCGCCGCCGCCGAGTCGTTGCTGAACGTCGTCGACCTCTGGCGTCGTGGTTTCCCGTGAACCGCTGCTGTCGCAACGATCGGTGTTGCCGTTCGAGCCTTCGCCGTTCGGATCGACAGCTTCTCCTCTAGGCAAACCCTTCTCCACGTCCCAATCCTGCGAACAGTCGCGAACGCGTAACATCAATACACGATCCCGTAGAAACACCCTAACGGCTATTGCCGGAGCCCTAGGCGAAACCGGTACAATATCCTAACGTCTAAATGTATCCAAACATCGTAACTTGACGAATCGCGGGTCCCCGAATTAATGTTAAGCGCCGGGCCCCGCAGCCAATCGCCCTAATTGCCCGCCTGCTAACGACGCCTACGGTACCGCGTCACGTCCGTTACGCGCGACGACGGCACCGTTTTCCCGCGCTGCTCATCGCACTAGATACACATCGGTGGTTTCAAAAATGCGAGGCGCAAAGCGAATATTTATGTTCCACTCCGCACTGTGTGCTACACCTGTTGTTGGATCGGCAACGATTTGTTTAAAATTTAAACACATGACACGACATATTTTGGTAATAATATAATTAAATTATTAGGTACGATGATACGATAACGAAAAAATGACGCCGCTTCTTGTGGCTTATAGTGGTTTTTTTTACTACTAAAAACCATAAAAACGTATTCTACACATGATATAGGACATTATTCCATTAAAAAAAAAAAAAAATTTGACAAAATCCGACGTAGGCCCTTATTCTGCGGAACCATTCAAATGATAAAAAAAATATTGTTTCGTTGGCACACGGGAGACGCGATTACATTTTTTGTTTTGCGTGACCCAGAAAAGATTGGGAACCGCTGGTACACATTGCGTACAGGCGATTCGAAGGATGAACCACGTTCCAATCACGTGCGGTCGTCGTGTTTTATCCGACCCAATTTACAATATTCGAAACAACTGCCGTTCACATCCGTTAAATTTATCGACCAAAGCGTCGTCGGGTGATACATTTCAATTGATTCAAACGATCCACCGCAGTATAAAAAACAATGCGGACCTGTATGGAAATTGTTTTTCGCTTATCCGTCGTGTTATTTGCAAGACTTTTAGCGATTAAGCTTAACTACTGCTATAAGAGTAGCGCTCCGTACGGATGCAAATTAGTCGTGCACTTTATTAGGTATACACTACGTACAGTACGGGGCAGACGGACAAAGAATTAATTAATGAGATTAAAATAATATACCGATACGTGTTTGGTGAATGTTTGGTTGCCTATCGTGCACATCGTCTTTCCGTCCCATACTGTACTACAACGGTATGGAAACATTAAATTATAATCAATCCGTGGATCGTATGGAAATAACGTACACTACCATGTGTAAAATTGAATACACTCCGTGGACAGGTAGTTAATGAGATAAATAAAAAAAAGGTTAAATTCGCCGATCTTCTCTCGTTCCCATTGTTGTGCATAATACGTATAATACGTATGTATTTATCGGTCTGGTGCATTAATTAAGTGCGATTTTCTAGAATTTTTTTTTATTTTACAAAAAAATTTCTCGATGTACCTTACTCAAAGCATAATTTATTAATTAATAACCATTTCCGTTTATTTATAATTACAATTAACTCCGAGTTTCGTATTACTCGTATTACTCCGAGTAATTATACGAAATCTGGAGCGAATACTGGAAATAATAAGTGCTTAGTGACCATGATTTAGATAACGCATAATATATTGTGCAAAGTGTTGTAAACACGAACTATAATGAAATGAGTATTGTGCACTATAGTATATATCATTATCGAGTATCCGCATAATGAAAGTGGGGATAATTTACTAAATCGAGTATTATAATACTAAATCGGAGACTGTCGACCGGTCAACTGGCGAACGGGTGAATTGTTAGATGGCTTTTCATTATTTTGATGCATTTTTGAAATTAATAGAATAAACCGGATTTAGTAGTACCGTAAATTGCATATTGAGGTTTTAATTTTATTGAACTTGCGTCGCTACGGTGATACGTACAAATCGAAATCAAATTTACCTAATAATACTATTTTAAACTTTTTTAATCACATAGTAAAATGAGAAAATTTAGTCTGTATAGAAACGCCGTAATATTTCTGCCAGACCATCAGATAATAAACGGGTGGAGCTTATTAAATAAGTATCGAATCCACATGACGTATAAAATTTAAATATTTTACTAACTTTAATACAATATTTAACTCAGTTATACGATTGTATAAGTATAAAAGTAATATAGTAATAACATGACGGAAAAAACGTATCACATTTACACAGTAAATATGTCTCTAAGCACGTCTCTCTTTCTTCCGAAAATAAGATGACAAAACTACAATATTTATCACTTCCAATGATGGTGTGCCTTCTTGTTTTTTGATAAAAAAATGTTTTTATTGTTTTTTTGTTTATTTTATTTCTTATTTTTATAAACTTTTTCGAATCGCTGTTTTATTATCTATGAAAATACATTTTCCGAATAGTCAAAAAAAATATTGCCAAAATAATTTTTGTTTAAAACATAAAAAAATCACTAAACGGTCGTCCAACATAACATTATAAAATTAAAATATATTATTAGTGACAACATAACGTTGGATGTTTTTTGAAATATTTTTAAATCTTCGTTTAATAAATTAAGATAACTACAACAAAAAAAACAAATATATAAAAGAAAAAAATAATCGTGTTGATCTCCAAGGCATTGAATAATTATAAGTACACATTTTTTAAGTGAAGGTTAGTTGAAATAAATACTTAATAAACACCAAAAAGAATACAAGCTATAAGACAATAAACTCTGAGCGTTTGGTGATATCAAATTCGTTGGGTGATTTACAACACAATGAATAAATGTCACGATATTACGTTTTGTTTGCTATAGTTGTATAATGTATTATTCATATATTGGTGATAGTTTAAGGTGATGTAATTAATTATAACAGCAAGTGAGTTTATTCGTAGCCATATAACACAATAGATTTGTATGTGTTCAGTGAAAGGTGAATAGTATGTTTCTGTTAAACATGACGCCAATTTGTCAATTTTTTTTTTGCTCGTCACTGCTTTGTTGATTGTTGAAAAAAATGCACTCCAAAAAACTAGAACTCATTTATCAGGAGACATTTGGTCTACAAAGAAACTTGTTCGTATAGTAAAAAATATTCTATCTATCAGTTCTAAGTAAAAAAAAGAACCACATTACTGAGATATTCCTATCGATCCACGATCTTTGTAACATTCGAATCAATCTTTTTTTTTATACATAATTTATGTAATTTATTTAATGAGTTGAGAGAAAATCAAAACAAACAGGTTTTTACAAACTAGAAAATAATTCGTGCATTCGAGAAAATCGGGTTGATATACGCTAACAGTAGTGATTTCAAAATTTACTATCACATGAAAACCAGAGTTCTATTTAACTTTTACGTTTTAGATTCTGAGTGATGCAAAACGTGTTTTCATTGATAGTTTAATGCATAAATGCAATATATATGTAATATTTGTATTTTGAAATATCACAAAGAAAATTTTGTTAAAACAAATATACTTATTATCTACGTTCATCTGGTCGATTTCAATATAGCCTAGGGCTTCAATGTTCCATTTTGAAATAATATCTTTAATTTTATCTGAGGAGCGAAGCAAAAGAAAAAATATATTAAACATCCATTAACAGTAATATATTATTAGAATTTTTTTTTTTTTTTTTGTTAACACATTCCTGTACAAACATTTTCTAGCGATTCCATGAATGCAAAATATATTCACAAAGAATCAAAGTAGTCTGAATATGATTAAATTAAATTTTATAATGATAAATAAATATACCTACAGAAAATTTTTCTCTAGAATTCTTCTATTGATCAAATGACAAATACATATATATATTTTTTTTTTCCCCATCTATATTTAAAGTTAATTATAAAGGTCCAAAATACTTTTAAATATAATTTAACTAATAAGGTATTATTTTAAATTTTTTTAATAAACGAAAAATATTCAGGACGCTAAAAGAACAATTTAATATTTTTTATTAAAAATGAGTACAAATGTAAAACATGTTTTTTTTTGTCAGTTAAAACTGCAATTATTTACCTATATAATAAACTAAATAATGTTAAAATAATAAGATCAAAAATAATCTGTGATTTTTCTTTCTTATGATTTAATTGTTAATCATGTCATCGTAATAATAAAAATCGAAAAAATATCTCAATGTTAAACAAATTTTTAATCAATGCTGTTATGACAATTATTTTTAATAGCTGAGAAATGAAATGAATATTGTTATTATATTGCTCTCTATGTACGGCATTATCTACGCTTTAATGAATATCAATATCCTACACTATTATTCGAGCAAGCTTGTAATAAAAATACTTTATTTTAAACAATAACAGTGGTGTTATCGTAAAATGTTAAGATTTAAATGGATTGATAGAATAACGAATGAAGCAGTACTAAATAGAATAAAAGAAAAGAAAATACTATGGCATACCGTAAAAGTTAGAAGAACTAAAATGATAGGACATCTACTACGCCATGAGAGTCTAACAAAAACCGTCATAGATGGCGATGTGGAAGGCCATATAGGAAGAGGAAGACCAAGGATGGAGTATATGAAGCAAATAATAAGTGACATGGGGAAGAATAGTTATAAAAAACTAAAGGAATTGAGTAATGATAGGGAATCATGGAGAACTGCAGCAAACCAATCTAAGGATTGAAGACTGGAGAGAGAGGTGATTAGTTAAAATTTAAAATTTAAGTCTAGAGTGATTTCTGAGCTAAAGATTGGAATTATTTGTTTTAAAATCAGAAGTAATTTTTTTTTTTTTTTACTTTTTGTTGCATTCTAAATAAAGTTAAAATATGTAGTTATTTAAAATTTTTTCGATATTATTTAAAATTGTTCGCCCCAAATCAAAACTGTTTTTTAAAAAACAAAATTTGTGTACATTTTATTAATCACTACAATTTTGATTTCTTGTTATTTCGTTAAATCACTTTTTAAAATACATTTAAACATGACGAACAGTTATATAGTTCCTACGGTAATTTTACTGTAAAGTTTTTATGGTTATCAAATTAAAATCGAGGGATGTACCAAAATAAT